CCGCCAGTGTGTCTAGAGTATCGTCTATCCTCGGCAGGGGATAGCTATCCTTCTTGGTACCATTATTGAGCTGCCGATAATCAACACAGAATCTGGTGGTACCGTCTTTCTTCTTTACTAGTACTACCGGCGATGTCCACGGGCTGTTAGATGGTTCGATGACACCCTCTTCTTTCATTTCTCGAAGGATTTTATCAGCTTCTTCACGTTTGGCGAGCGGAAGTCTTCTCGGATTTTGTTTGATTGGTCGTGCATCTCCGGTATCAATTTTATGTTGTACTAAATTGGTACGACCTCTGTGTCCTGCTTCTCCTTTATCAAACACATCTTGATACTTGATTATCAGGTTTCCCAATTTTCTACTATTTTCGGGAGATAATCCCTTAACGTTTACTAACTCCTTCACCATTTTGTCCGGAATTTTTGAAGTCGAAACTTTGGAGGCTTCCACGCTTCGAATGACTGAGGAGACCGAACAACAGTACCCTAACAGGGTTCCCTTCTTCAAGGATACAGAATAATAATTCGTATTCATTACTCTCACCGGTACAGTTTTCTTCGCTCGTAGCAGGGCTTTTCCAACAGCGATCCCTCGTCCTATTTCGCTGTCATGGTTCCTTGGCTCCAACAGAATAATACTCCCATTATTCATTTTACCTTCCAGGCAACCATCCAAAAATACCTCACAGCGCTCAGGGATCGAAACATCTTCTGCTACTACCACGCGAAGCGTCTCCTCACATTTTCGATGTAGAACCACTTATTCCTCATTTATTTTCAAAATTCCCTCTTTGAAGTTTAGGTCAAAACCTTTAGTGGTCATGATGTTCATTCCGAGAATAAGTTCATCTTCGATATCTGCTACTAACACTGGATGTTCAAAACTGGTGCTCCCAATAACAAAATTAAGATTTACTTCTCCATGGACAGCAGCGGAGCCCCCCGTAGCAGTACGTAGTCGCCATTGTGTTGTTTTAACCTTCTTCGATGTTTAAGAATGTCCGGTCTGATGATAGTTTTCGTCGCACCTGTATCCAACAGCATGGTCCGGAACTCTCCATCAACAAAACCATCCACAAAAATGCTGTTGAATTTGTGTTGTAGCGAGGCGACTTGAGCAGTTTTCGTTGGGGCATGTTGGGTACAGGTCGACGTGTGCCCCTTCATTTCGACCCTTAGTAGTTTTCCGACCTCGACGAAGCCGGTTCTTCGTTCTTCTCCTTACAACGGCTTCGCACGTGTCCCACCTGTCCGCAGTTCCAGCAACGAATCGGTCCCTTCTTGCCCATGTACTGGTCCATTACCTTCCGAACAATCCCTTCCACGGATTCGTCGGAACATTCGTCGATGGCCCGTACTCTTCCTAAAGACCGAGAACTTTGTTTCGGGCCTCAAATTCTAGGGCACGTGCTAAAGCATCCACCAAGTGCGTTGGGTGGGCTAGGAGAAGTGCTTGTCTTGTCTCGTTATCACGTAAGCCGTCGGGGAATGCCTGTACTGCCAACCGCTCCATAACATTCTCTGGCGTAGCAGGGTACGCAAGACAAACGAGGCGGGCTACGTCGGCTTCAAACTCCTGCAGAGACTCATTTGAATTTTGAATGCGATTTTTTAGCTGGGAATGATAGACATGTTCCAAATGAGCTTGGCCGTGCCTCATTTCTAAATGTCGTACCAATTGCTGATAATCTCCCTGTTCCGATGGTGACAATGTCTGCAGGATATCAGTCGCATCTCCTCGCAGTGCGACAGTCACAGCGGTAGCCTTTTCAGCGATTGTCCATCCGTTCGCTCTCGCAGCGGCCTCAAACTGGCAAAAATAATTGGCCCAAGCGGTTTTTCCGTCAAACTGTGGAGGCTTAATAACTGACTTTGAGATATACTTATTTTCGACTAGTTTCGGTGCCTCCGATGATTCTTGACATTTTGGTGAATTGGCCTTTTCTATTTCTTGTTTTAAAATTTCGATTTTTCTATTTACATCTTCCTCAATCTCTGTTATTTTATCTTGTGTATCTATTATCTTTTCTTCTAATTCCTGTATTTTATTATTAAAGCTGGCCTGTATATCTTTAGAATTTTCTGCGATCTTATCTTCTAAAATATTAATTAAATCCTGGGAATTTTTCATCATTTTATCACTGATTTTATCTTCTAAATTATTCAAATTGCCGTTTAAATTGTCTTGCAATTCTCGGGAATTTTCTGTAATTTTGTCATTCAAACTGTCTTCTAATTTTTGAGAGTTTTCCGTCATTTTATCTTCTAATTTTTGTAGGCACGAGTCAAGGTCACCTTCGAACTCAAAGCAAAATGTGTCCGGATCCTCGCCTTCCTCCCTCAAAACGTCTCTCAGTCTGGTTTGCAAAATACTTTTCTTTCCATCTGTCTCGCACTCTCTCTCTTCCAATATGGATTTCAGTTCGGACACTTTCAAGTCTTTCAACAATTTCTTCGGAGCCATTGTTAGTCTTTTTATTTTTCTTATCACACACGCCACACCTGACACCAATTGTTACGTTTTTCGTCGGTTCCGTGTGGATAGAAAGTCACAATTTATTTAAACACTATTTATTTAACACTAATGAACAAAAATAATAACGATAAAGACTTATAGAACTATTTACAAACGATTTATAACTAAGAATTTATTTTGAATTTTAGCGCGTCAACTGTATATTTATAACTGCCCCTGTAGGCCACGGCCGCCGGCTTTTATACCGGCAGGTAAAGAACTCTAGAATTGTCCATAGATCGTTAGGTGCGTAGAGAAGGTTTTCGAATGTTCTCGTATGTACTCGTCCATTCCAGTGGGACTCGATTCTTCTCGAACGAATGAATCATTGCGGTGTCTATGCGATGTTAAGGTCATCCGAGGGCGGGCCATATTGTGAGGTTAGGTCGAGTCCACACCGGCCCGCAACAATAATTACAATACTTGAACACTTATATGTATGTATGTACAAAAAATATATCTTTGTTTAAAAGTTTTTAATGAATTTAACAAAATACCGGAAAGCTAAAATAACATTACAGAATTCGTTTTTCACATAACAAAATAAAATTGTATTATTATAAGAAATAATTTATATAAAAATTATTTTTAATTTTATTAAAATAATGTTTTTTATTACCCATACACGCAATTTTATAGGACCTACATATTCAATTTTCAGATAATATTTGAACACCACTTGTTGATAAAATATAAAATTATATTTCCATCAACGCATCGCAGAGAACAAACAAATGTAAATTATTTGTGAATTTTTAGCCATCAAAATGTTGAATATAGACTAGATGTTGTTATAGAATGTATCAAATAATATATAGGTATTTTTATTTTGCCTTTGTTTATTCCAATAAGAAAGACGAAAAGCTTGAATCACAGTTTGCTTTATTCTTTGCTCATCTCTAGATCAGAGGAGAACCAAAATAGATCTGAAAAGTTCGCAGTGGAATAGACCGATAGCCGCCTCGGAGACTCTAATGCATTCTATGCAATCTAATGCATTTATTTATATTAGATTTGTTGTGTTTTTGGTAGTTGTCATAGTTTCCGAGATATAAGCAACAAAGTTAAAAAATTGACATTTAACTCCTCCCCACTCCTCGAGCTCATCGTCTATCTTCGGAGACTTTTGACACATATCAGCCCAATTCTAGAGGAATCGTAAAACTATTTTCAAAACTGTGGGATTTTTTTCCACCGATAGGCCTTTTTTAACTAATTTGACTGGGTGTATAAAGACTATCGATTGTTCCATTACAATTTGTGCACTCTTAAAATCTCCTCTGTATTCAGTGTCCTATGAATGCTGACAAATCTGAGATTTCCGAAAATCGCCTTTTTTAAATAATGTTTATATTCTTTAATTTAAAATTATATTATTATCATATACGTTTTCAGTCCTCTCTTACTTCATACTTCCTTTTTAGCCGACCATACCAACAGGTATGGTAGGCTATTAAGATCGGCAAAAAAAAGTTTTTTTTAATTTCACTCAAAATGAGTTATTTGGGTCATCCTCCTCCTCCTTCCTATTATTCTATTTTGAGTATGGTGACATTATGATATCGCATTTATCGCTCTCCATGTTGTTTTGTCTTGTCTGGGTCATAAATGACTGGGTCATAAATGATCTAAATACAAAATATTTTCTCATGGTGTCTGTCTGTCTGACGAACACGATAATTCAAAAACCGCTAAACCGATTTTAACCAAATTTGGCACAAAAATACTGTGGCACCCGGGATGCCATTTTTCTGGCCATTAGTTTTTGGTGGGGGGTTGGTAAGAGGGTATGGGAGGGGGTTAAAAATTTAAAAAACTCCAAAATTACAGTAGCTAGCGAAACGTGGTTTTCAATTTAAGATTAGGAATAATATTTGCAACAAAATTTGTAATAACATAAAAATCAGTCAAAGTCGCAGTTTTTGAGATATTCCGTGTTTCCGTAGTCCGTTTTTGAGAAAATCCGTGTGGAGAACTCCAAACTCCCATCGGACGCGACCCCAGGTGGCGGATAGGGGAAATAACCGCGGACCAAAATTGGAAAAATTCCTTTACTTTGAAACTAAAAGAACTGCCTACCAACTTTTTATTAACATATTTTAGTATGGGCGCCTATACGTGCCTCCCGGCGTCAATATTTTTATGTATTATATTATAATTTAAAATTTAGAGTTGTATGAAAAAGTTAAAATAATGTAATTATTCAATTCCTACAATGCTTTAGAAATATTTTTTGCGTGCATTATACCTAATCTTTTTTTTAATGTATAATACAATAGTTGCTGCATCTAATGATATATTGTTTATGTGTTTCTACTAATATTACTAATTTACTAAATTTATATTAGTAACCTGTTAATTAGAGATATGTGAGAGAGGCTACACCATAATTGGAAATGGTTGAATATGCTGAAAATGATAATTTGCTTATAATATTTGATATAATAATACTATAGTGTGATAACAAATAAATTATATGCATTATTTCAAAATATAATATATATTTCTTATAAAAATAATTTTACCCCAGACAATATGTCAAGTAGTTTATGTTTTAAAGGAAACATAAAGAAAATAATTCGTAAAAAAATTATTATAAATTATTATACAACTTAAGATTAATGGATATTTCAAATATATCGAAACTAATCAATACATAATTTCTTGAATGATCCATCCACTCCCAATCCGAACATCTCCACCTTATCCTTTTCAGTTTCATATTTTTGAGTAGATTTTACACTTAAAAGTTTTTTGAATAGATCTTCCGATTCCTCTAGATGTTTACACCATTCATCTGCAACAAAATGTATAGTTATTAAATAGGTGTGTTAATTCTTTGTATTCTTTTTCACATTAATGCTAGACCAGAAAACGGACTATATGCTCACCAAACATGATTTTGGAGAAAAGATAAGGATTCGCATCCCGATAAGGGAAGAATGAAAAAGCAACCGAGTAGTGAACACTCAAGAGATAGCAGTCTACACAGACATTTTCTCAGAGAAACTAGACATCCGACGATCTTTAAGGCTATCAGATGGCTGTAATGTTCTACAAGCAGAGGTTTACGCTATAAAAGAAGTGGCCAGTTGTATACGAGAGAAAATCACTGATAGATCAATAGGAGATATCGCGAAATACTCTGACAGCTTGGGCGCTTTAAGAAGCATCACCATGCAATCAGTGAGATCGAAAACTGTGACTGACGAGAAGCACTGTAGTTGGGTCAAGGCGGGGTCACTCGGTGCCCCCGGAGTGTCAGACCTCAGCAATGTGGTGGGCAATCAAGAAGCGAAAAGACTCGTTAAAGAGGAAGCCAGGGGAGAGGCCGTGGCAGTTGACCCACCACTTCTGACGATTAATACACTGAAGGAAGCTATAGAAGCTATCACCAAGCCCAAGAAGCAAGAGACGCGGCAACACCGTGAGGACTGCGCTACAGCTCGTAGACTGTGGCCAGTGGTAGATAGCAACAAGACAAAACAACTACTAGAGCACAAAAAGAACATAGTACGCATAATTGTATATTTAATGTAGGTTATTAATTTAACTAAAAAAGCAGCAGCATTTAGTCATCGCAACCGCAGGTTGTGTGCACTGATAACACTGGATGTTAGGAATGCTTTTAATAGCGCGTCATGGCAGCAAATCTTGGAAGAATTGAGAGAGAGGGGCGTTAAAAATAGCCTAATAAATATAATAAGTTCTTATCTGTCCGACAGAAAAATCTTATTAGAAACTGAAGAGAGAACGAAATTGGTAAGAATAAATTCCGGAGTTCCGCAGGGATCTATTCTTGGTCCCACATTGTGGAATATTTTGTACAATTCCCTGTTGAAATTGGATATGCCAGAGGGTATTACTCTCATTGGCTTCGCGGATGATGTAGCCATGGTAGTGATTACTGATAGCGAAGAAATACTTCCGGCACAAAAGGATCTACAGCTAGCACCACAAAAGACAGAGGCGGTAATTCTAACCACCAAACGAAAACTGGCGCCAATCCTTTTTGATGTTGAGGGAACATTGATCGTACCTAAGAATGCTGTAAAATACCTCGGAGTCTGGTTAGATAGTAAAACAACATTCTGTGAACATGTTACCCAGACGATCACTAAAGCGGAAAAAAACTCTAGCTGCATTATCAAAACTAATGCCGAACATAGGGGGCCCTAGGTCATCAAAGCGTAGAATTCTTGTTAGCGTAATACATTCCCAATTGTTATATGCAGCTCCGGTATGGTGTAAGACAATGGAAAAAATAAAAACAAAGCGAAAGATAACAGCTCTGCAGCGCAAATTATGTATTAGAGTTTGTAGCGCTTACAGAACTGTATCTACTGAGGCAATTGGTGTCATTGCGGGCATCCCTCCTATCCACTTATTAGCTCATGAACGAGCGGATAGATACAAGGGAGAGCTCAAACAAATAGCCAGGAAAATTGTAATGGAGAAGTGGCAGGATCAGTGGGATAAAGGAAAGCATGGAAGATGGACCTTGAGACTTATACCCAACATCGAAAAATGGATTGACAGACATATGGTAAAGTGGGATACCACCTGACACAAATGCTGTCTGGACACGGGTGCTTCCGAAAATACCTCTATAAGATGCGGCGGGCAAACTCTGAGTCATGTTTATTTTGTGGTGAAATAGACGATGTTGAACATGTATTCTATTGTCCCAGATGGAGCGATGAGAGAGATAATTTTAAGAAGGAGAGTGGACTAGTTTTCACTGAAACGAACTTGATGAGAAGCCTTGAGGGAGGTGAGTTATTATGGGAAACAGTAAACAAATGCATAAATAATATACTAAGTAAAAAAGAAGAGGAACAACGCCACATGGCGTAGACAGCCCCTCACGTCGAAGTAATGCGTAAGCGGTTCCGGCGTGGTGTGCTTACTTGAACGAGGAGGTTTTTTTTAGCCGGTAGGAATCCGGCACTACCCAACTATGGGTGTCTTATGGAAGATTTTTTCCCCCCTCATCGAAAAAAAGAAGTACGCATAATTGTAGGTGTCATTAATGGAAACTGCCTTACGGGGGTAAACTTCGCGAGATGGAAGATTTCCAACCAGAGAATGGGGAGAGGAAGAAGAAACCATAAAACATCTGCTGTGCCACTGTCCAGCACTGGAATACCGATGCTTTAAAATTTTAGGACAAGGTTTTTTGGAGGGACTAGAGGAAGCAGCAGGAAATCAACATCAGCTACATCAAGAAGAATTTTTGCAAAAAGCTGGAAATGCTTTAACGCAAAGAAATAATGAGAGGAAGGTTTGGTACAATAATACATTTGTATAGCTATGGGTCCAAGGCATCCGAGTGAGGGATCGAACAGAATCCAAAACCTCAGCAACCTAACCTAAAATCTCTTAGAGACTAGCTTTTGCCAAAGCCCTGACACTGTAGGATGAGTTATAATTCAAGAAAGGGGGACACAATAGACCTGATTATAAGACCCTAAGACCCTAACATACATTCTCTGAATAATTACCTTTGGATTCAGTTTAAATAAAACATGTTCTATCTATATTCTTTTAGCAACGCCTAAATATCTTATTAAATCCCATTGTAACACTTAACCTTGTCGCATCTTTTCTTTATTTTTCCGAACGTACCCAAACTAATAAAATATTAAAAACGGTATCGCACACAAAAGGTCGTCGAAAAATAAAATGACAAAAAGGGTCTGGCCTAGAATGGATCCCTAGCCGCTTACTTGACCTCTAAACTTGTCGAAATGGGTATAGAAATTGATTTTGCGAACAAGGCCTATTGCGGTCGTAAGGATTATTATGAATGTAAAGATGCGGCAACGTTTTTGGAAGTCCCTATAGAATATAAAAATACGTTCGTGTAGCTTGGGTCTTTGTTAGGAATTGGTAACAATGTTAAACAATATAATTTCTATTATAAAGCTTAATTGCTATTGAAAATGTACACTAATCTAAATAATAAAATCCAAACTATTATATGCTTACTGATGTCACAGTAGTGGTAGAACTATAGAGAGATAGATAAGACTATCATTTTAATTTCAAAGTAATTTGTTTTATTTTACAAAGAAATGAGATCGATAGTTGAAGTTCAAATCTTTCAGAAATCGTTACGTGTAGAGCTTTTTTAAGTCACAATCTTTATACGGATGAGTAACTTTGATAGATCGGGGAAGTTAGCAACTCATTGAAAGCAGAAATTATAAAATACGATCTTGCTTGGGCTGCTACAATCCTGCTTTATCCTGCTTCAAATCCCAGCCCAGCCACACCTACCAATTTCGAGCTATAGTTACTTTTATTTTGGTTGCTAACTTCCCAGTTGGCAACACATGAGAAGCAGGATCGCCAAAACTGGTTTCTGCTTGCGCTGCTATACCCCTGTTGCATCCTGCTCTAAATTTCATTCCAGCAACACTTGCTATTTTTAAGATACAGCAAGCTTAAGTCTGATTGGTGACGTCACACATAGCAACACAATAAAAGCAGGATGGCTGAAACAAGTTCCTGCTTTGGCTGTTATAATCCTGCCTTATCCTGCTTCAAGCCCCATACCAGCCATTCTTGTCGTTTTTGAAATAGAACAAATCAATTCCTGGTAATCAGTCGCAGATTAACACATTAAGTATGATTATTTTAATTTGATAAGGTTCAGCTTAGGCTGCTATTTTTTTGCTTTATTTGCCTAAAATATGTATAAGCTTTCAAGCCATAAATAATTATTCCGAACAGTTGAACAAAATAAGGCAGGTTCAGTGTTTTCAGGAGTAACTTTAGAGTTTTTAGTGTGACATCCGGAAGCGCATTAACGTACCCGCGAACCATAACCTCAAATTTTCCAGTTTTCTACTACGAAATTGAATTCATAGTTCTCACAAGTGTGATTTGTGTTATTTTGTGTGTTTTTTTTAAGAAACTAAGTATTTTTGACGGTCAATCTAGCCTTAAACTTTTATTTTTTACGTTTTGTTCCGTGCCCTAGCGTAAGTCAGCAACAAGCTTTTATATCATATAAATTGTGTAATGAGATTATAAGTTGATAGTAAAAGTGTTACAGAAAATTATTTTCTTTCTTCTTTTTAGAGCATTTAAATAAAAGCTTGCTTTTAAAAATGTTTTTAAAAGCTTTTATTTAATTTGCAATATATGTATTATGTATGTATGTATTTCAATAACGGCAAGAGTGGCTGGTATAGGGTTTGAAGCAGGATAAGGCAATACTATAGCAGCCAAAGCAGGAACTCGTTTCAGCCATCCTGCTTTTATTGGGTTGCTATGTGTGACGTCACCAATCAGACATAAACTTGCTGTATCTTAAAAACAGCAAGTGTTGCTTGGATGAAATTTAGAGCAGGATGCAACAGGGGTATATGACAGCGCAAGCTGAAAACAGTTTTGGCGATTCTGCTTCTTATGTGTTGCCAACTGGGAAGTTAGCAACCAAAATAAAAGTAACTATAGCTCGAAATTGGTAGTAATGGTATTGGGATTGTTGGTAGTACTGGGTTGGGATTTGAAGCAGGATAAAGGAGGATTGTAGCAGCCCAAGAAGGATCGTATTTTATAATTCCTGCTTTCAATGAGTTGCTAACTTCCAAGATCTAACTTTGACATTTAGAAAAGAAGAAAGAGATTAAACGGCCTAGCCCTCAACAACTCGCAACCGTATACACCAGTGCAGACAACCAAAAACAAAACCAAACCCAAACATTAACCTGTCAACCAGGTTAACATTAACCGGACATCGGATTTTAACCGTAACATATACATTTTTGACCAATAGCAACAAAACCAAACACCACTTTTAAAATTAATGTATAGGTTCTACTTTAAAGAATCAGTCTTACCATAAAGATCTTTTAGTGATTTTTGAGTACCACCATAATCAGATGGGAGAAATTCGGGAGGCATTTGTTCATGAAGGGATTCGAAAGTCTTATGTGTATGTATCTAAAAAATAAGATCAGTACTACAACTGTAAAATAATATTTATTAAAATTACCTTATTATATATCTTTGTCGGTAGGAGACCCTTCAGTATTTTCATTATTTGTTCAATCAAATTTGTGATATTTACGAAGTGTATAGAATCGATCCTCAAATTTATTGAAAGCTGAAAACAATAAAATATATAATATTATCTCTTATAACCGCAAAACTATAGAAACAATTTGCAAAATAAATATTAACTTAACATTTATTATTTCGACACCTATAAAAATATGATTTAGTATTTTCTATGTACTTAAAAATGACTTATTTGCGGTTTATAACTCTATTAAAATGAGGAGGAAGTTTACGTTATATTAAAAGTTATTACTTGATTGTCAAAAATGTAAAAAAATGTAAGAATTTTCACAGTTTTTCAAGGACATTTTAGAAGACAGTTTCAGTGAACCCAAGATTCAATAATCTCGATCGCCAAGTCGAGCACAGCGGTACCATCCTTTTCTCGAAAGTATTAGCGGCACTTTTGACCACCCTGTAACTTCGTTGTAGATAAAGCAAGAATATTCATTTTCACTACACTTGAAGACATACTATAGCTGGCTAGGTTACCAAAATATCTAGTAATTTGTTCCTCATAGTTTATGAATTATCGCTTGTCAAATTTCTTTAATTTCGACATTGACTCACTGACAGATCATCAAAATTCTAATGTACTTCTAGATGTGTCACCAACTCCAAATTTAGAATTTTAGGTAGCTTGAAGCTTATAACCAAAGGAAAAAATGAAAATTCTCGAAATATCCTGATGGATTAAAAGTTAGCTGTCTAGCCGCTACAAGTAACTGGCTTTCCACTCGAGAAAAAGATAGAAAACTAGAATTAATCGGAACGGTCTCTTCTGATTTTATTTATATATCAATACACCAACGATAATCCAAGGATTATGATGTTTTTCTAATCAGACTTTAACTTGTAATGAAGTCCCTATTTATTTTTTTAGTTTAATATGTTAAATGCTAGGCTTGAGCATATTTCAACAAAGGCTTGATAGCGCGGCGCGGCGCCAAAGTATTCCGCTAGTTCGAAGGCCGAACTCGGGAGGCCATCGGGGCATAATTTTTTTTATTTTATTTTCGTTTATATTCTGATTGAAAAATATTAAATACATATCTTAAACAATAATTCGAGGATTTATCTCTTATAGTTTTCGAGATAAAAAATAAAATATGTGTAAAATTGACAAAAAAATAATTTTGAATAAGCATTATTAATAAGCAAATTATGAATTGAATATTTTTAAAGTTGATATTTGAGTTATACCGAAAGTCGGAAACACAAGTCGTTAGAAAACTAGAATTAATTCAATTGATATTATCTGACTTAATTAATTATGCGATAATTCAAAGTTTATGAATTATAGTCAAAAAAGTCTCGCAATGCAATAAAGTCTCGCAACACAATTCCTCCGCTATAAAAAGTTGTGAGATCTCATGTAAAACCAACTCAGTTTATTTTATTTAGTCTCTCTTTAAGCACCTATTCAACAATTTTGATATAAATTGTTAGTATCAATATTAGTCATCTTTATTTCTATAATAATTATAATGACTTGGCAATTGCACGATATGATATTCTATAGTAATTAAAAAAACTTTATTCTTAAGTGCATCGTTTATTAGATTTACTTAGTAATCGAAATAGTAGATAATTCTTTTTTATAATTATGGTGCCGTGCATGCAGTTGCCAGGTCATTATGATTATTATAGAAATAAAGATGACTAATATTGATACTAACAATTTATATCAAAATTGTTGAATAGGTCCCTTATGAGAGATTAAATAAAACAAACTGACTTGGTTTTACATGAGATCTTACAACTTTTTATAGTGGAGGAATTCTGTAACAAAGTGTAATAAGTGTAATATCTACAAATAAATCTAACAAGACAAGCATTGAATTCCTATTTCATTATTGCTCAAAATTCTTACCATTTTATATCTATTCTTTTGACTGAAGGAAATAGATAACAAAGAGTAATGATGAATTGAAGCCTGCCTATTTTTTTGTATTTGTATTATTTATATTTACAAATATATAAAAAGAATAAAATGGTATAATAAAATATAAAAACATTGCAAAATATTCTAACCCCCTGTTATAAATTAATTGATCTAAAGTTTGTAAAACGAGAGGGTTCCTGATATTTTTTTGAATTCTGATCTAAATTGTATTTGCTGTAATTTTTTATGCAACTCGATTTTTATAAAACAGCCAATACTGTTGCGGACCCGTGTGGACTCGGCATAACCTAACTAGCTAAAATGTTCCGCCCCCATATGATCTTAATATCGCATTAAAGAATAGACACCGTAAGGCCGCGCCGGCTCCACACATTGGCGCCAATGTTGGGGCCAATAGCGTTCGTCTAATGTGTGGATGTATGAATTGAAGTTGGCGCCAACATTGGAAGACGTTGGCGCTCGTGTTGGGAGTAACTCGTCGCATGTCGGCATTTTTCAAAAAGATCAAAGAAATTCGCATCGTCGCTCGTGTTGCTGACCACACATTGTTTGGATATTCAGTCTTAATTTGGAAGTTAAAGCGTAAGCATGTCAATCGAGCTGTCACAAAAATAGCTTCGTGTTGGACAAATGAACTAATTTTAAAATTTATTGAGGCCTATCAAGCGAAACCATTGCTATGGAATCCCCGGAATTTCCAACACAAAAATCGGAATGCCGTGATAGATGCATGGGATCGTATACAGGTTGCCATGGACTGTCAATTTGCAATTGCCGAACTAAAAAAAGAGAATCATTGATGTCTACTTATAGACTACACAGTAGAAAAATAAATGAATCTAATCGTTCCGATGCATCGACGGATATGCTGTACACAACTAATTGATTTGCATATAATCTGATGGATAGTTTTTTAGGAGTAGTCTACAACAATGATGAATTTTTTGCAGAATTAAATTTAAAATATAGTTGTTTACAGTCATCACTGCAAATGCACACAACACACAACGCAATTTCTGTTTCACGCCCAGACATATTGAAGTTGAAGTTGGTCCGGTGTACAAAGGAATGGGCTTGGTGCCACTATATTGGCACTATATTAAAATGCACCACGAACATAGTCAAGTTGAGGCAAAGGTTGGTCCCAACATTGGCGCCAATGTGTGGAGCCGGCGTAATGATTCATTCGAACATTCGAGAACCATCGAGCTCCACTGGAATGGAGGAGTACATACGAGAACATTCGAAACCTTCTCTATGCACCTAATGAGCTATGGATTATTCGAGAACTTTTTAGCTGTGGGTATAAACGCCGACGGCCGGGGCCTGAAGAGGACAGAAATAAATAGACGAGTACAGTTAACACGCTAAATTCAAAATAAATTCTTTCTAGATAAATAGTTATAAATAGTTTGTATATAGTTCTTTAAGTTTTTTAATCGTTATTGTTTGTTACTTAGTGTAAATAAATTGTGTTTAAATAAATTGTAACTTTCTATCCACAAGCAACGTACAAGTGAGACGCGCGCAGCTTTATTATAAGTACAGTTATATGGCAAAATCCTAATGTACTTGGTCCAAGTACACTTTTGGTCCGAGTCTACAAGAACTTTCACCATTGTTTATTTATAACATACCAATATATCAATAAGTTTCTGGTTTACTGCGGGTGTGAACTTAATTATATTTTTCCATCCACAATTGCTGTAGTCGAAAATGAATTTGTTCGATAAGAAATAGTCGTGCGATATTCTGATTTCCGCCATCATCAGAGCAATCATTTGATATATGTAAGCGTCAGTGGCTTCTCCGTTTGGATCCTCAAATTTAAAAATCGTTATTCGACATAGGTCTGGTGTAAGCTTGGGCATTATTACAGTCGTCCTAAAATAATTTTATTATTATTAATACTTTATTAAAAGTTTACAACATTTTTAAATTATATTTTTACTTCAGATTAGTTTGAAATTTCTTTTTTGAATTGTTAGTTGAACTAAGAGTACTCAATAATATAGAGGTATAAATAATACAGGGTGCTACAAATTCGGGATACGAGCATTGATATATCGGTAACCGTAATAGATACGAACATGATTTTTTGGGACAATTTGCGCCGTGGGTGGTTTGCCAATATGCTATCAAAAAAGTTTCAAAAATTTCAAGGATTGCTGAGTTAAAAAAATAGAATTTCTGGAAAATAAATTTTATTTTTTCCTGTCGTTACTTTTTAGAAAATCGAAAAACTAATAATTGCACTTTCTCATAGCCATTTTATCAGGGCTATCAGATCGTATTTTTATATTTTCAATTTAGCTAATAGTTTCTGAGATACATGGGCTAACTTATAATAATATTTTTTTAAATACGGACCTGCATTTTTTATTTCAGGTTTTGAAAGAATTCAGTCTCCTGAGTATAACGATATGCCACACTTAATATTTTATTTTCTTTTCCTAACCTAATATAATAATAATACTAATAGCTCCCGTATATAACTTTTAACGCCTTGGGAGTGAGTAGCAAGGTACAGCTTGCTATACTAGAGCCGTTCGGTATACAAGGAAGGTAATGTGGCCAGCACTACGCTTCAACTGCCTATTATTACCTCAGGATTGTGAATCCCAAGTACTCATTTAAGGCTGAGTCGACCTAGGTACCCAAACTATTTTTATTGTAATAAAAATAGTCGGCTGATGAAATGCCGGGTGTGGGAATCGAACCCACACCTTGAGATTGGTAGACGAGAGCCTGTACCTCTACGCCACCGGGCACCCTAACCTAATATAACTACCCTATTTAAACTAATTTCAAGGCCGTTTATGTTTTTTTAATTATTTAAATTCATTATATTCATCGTAACAATATTGATGAGCACTGATTAACATCGAATAAGGAAAATCGAGCCAATTGAAAGATCAAATAAATATATAATATCCAGGTCAGTATTTTAAAGATATTATTTTTAACTATTTGTATTATAAATTTGAAATCTCAATGTACGATCTAATAATATGTATAATATTAATTGTAATTAAGTATTACAAATAAATTAACTTCTACTAACTAGTTTCTAATGTTCTACATGTTCGAAAAGATTACCACTCGCCCTAATGTACAAATTTATTTTTCGTTCAATCTTATGTATAGAGTATAGCCCTTACAAAAGATCTTCTTATACTTCCGAATGTGCATTGTGTACTCCTTGTTGTAAATGTGGAGGTGTATTGATTTCACTTTGATAAATGACGTCAAGTAATGCCCTCATTGCCCTCCAAAAGAAAATATCCCTTTGTCACCAGGAACATCGCTGTCCATTATACTGCTCTACCATTTCCAATCGCTCTTTTAGGGAAATTATTTGATTGTTTATATTTCTATTATATTTCTATTATTTTTTCGTTGTATTTGATTTTTTTTGCGTTCAATGTTTTACCACACATCATTGTTAAGTTTTAAAGTTCATCAATATTGTTGCGACGAATTGATTAAATATTTTATAAAACCAAAGCCGGACTTGAAATTAGTTTAAATAAATTGTATTTAGGTGCCCGAAATAAAAAAAAACAAAAAAAAGTTGGCCTATGTATCGCACAAATTATCAGTTAATTTGAAAATCTAAAAATACTAATAATGTGCAATTATTTTTTGGATTTTCTAAAAAGTAACCACAAACCAAAAAATAAAATTGATTTTTCAAAAAAATCCTTTTTTTCCAAATAACTCAGTGATACTTGAAATTTTTGAAACTTTTTTGATGGCATCTTGGTAAACATCTCAAGCACAACTTTGTCCCAATTTAACCATGTTATTATTACGCTTTTCGATAGGATAGTTTAGAGTAAGATACATCTAAACTAAGGTGGGTTGAGAGTAATATTTAAACATGGTTTTCTATTAAAGTTATAAACATATGGTAATCGCAAAACAATTTCCGATGCACGTGATCAACTTTGAGTGACAAGCCATGGCGACAGCGCTGCCAGATTGTGATGGATTTATTAGATAAATCTTAATTTAAAATTGACAAAGAGCATATTTATTATATCATTTTTTAAAGCGTTTTACGTTTTATTTTTAATTTAATAAGTAATATTTTAGTGATTAATTGATTTATTTGTTTTATAGCTTATTTTACTTATTACATATTGGCAAAAACTAGTCCATTATGAAGATTATTATAAGTGTTACTATGGGTTATTTATTTATTGATGTACATCTTACAAAAGTGGTAATAACAAGTAACAGGGTGCTATTAATGCACAAACTAATAATCACAGAATTTAATAAAAACTAACTTTGGTATAGTTTGGTATAGGTATAATGTGCTTATCAATCAAACTTACTTCTCTGACTGCAGTCAAGGGTAATAAAGGATCTTTATTGTCACGTACTAGTTCAAAATAGTTTTATAAAATCAGAGACGAGAGCTACAAGTTCTTTGCTTGGACTGTTTAAATGCTTCGGCATATTTCCAACACACAAATTACAAGAAATACAATACAAAAACTCAAAAATTTTGTTCATAAAATAACTGTTTGTGCTTAAAAGTGCAATTAAAAAAAAGACTAATGAATAGGCAAAAAAACGGGAATTACTCACAAAGATTCAACAACAACACGCTATTATACAAAATAATGACTGACACTAGGATAATTATTGTCAAATAATAAAGGACAGCACTGCTGAACACGGCGCAATGTGTCCAACATAGCGATAATAAAATTCGGTTAAAACTAATTTTTGCAGCTTTAATCTAAATAAAATATCTGTTGCAATCATTTGCCCTATAAAGTAAAATGAAGAGCTGCTCGGTATCTTATATTATACAACAACATACATTTTTGTCAATATTTCATTTAGACAGGTTTATAGACTTTAGTGTCAATGTCGATATAACTGATGATGTGCATCGGAAAATGTTTTGCGAATACAATAATATGGATACATTACACTAGCTTTTTTGCTTCCCTGTATCTATCAGTATTTGGCAGCATGCTGGCAAAATATTCGTCAGAATAAACTGCCCTCATTCTGAAATAGGCCTCTAATGAATGTTTCGCTTTTTCCAAGCTCATTTTGCTGTTGAGCAAACATAGTCTTAGTATATTATCATCTAAAACATTTTATGGAAATAAAATATGGATTTTAACATTTAATATTAAACCTACCACTGACTTGTGGAAGATGGCTAGATTGGGCAAGCCAATCTTTAAGATATTTTACATTTTCTTCAAATTCCTCTTCAGCAAGATTATAGTGTTTGAGAATTGCTTGTTTTTCACTGTCTGTTACTTGGAGTAGTTGTGATAAATTAGACATTGTCATCCTAAAAAACAGTTAAGCTTTAAAAATTGGTTTGAAAGAAGAAACTACTATTATTTACTATTACTATTAACTTATTATAAATTTTGGTTTTATATACAAGGCGAGTCCTAAATAAGTGCAAATATTTTTAGTGTTGGTCCTCCTACTCTGGGTGCCTGCTCACCAAGGGATAGAAGGCAATGAAAAAGCAAATGATCTAGCTAGAAAAGCTAGCTCCTTTTCTAGCTAGAAAAGGAGCGAACACTCCACTAACTGGACCAGAATCGTCCTGTTTTCCAAGCGGGAGGAATCAACTGAAAGCGGAACTGAAGAATCAACAACAACAACAACAACAACAACAACAACAAACAACGCTTTATTGTGCAAAAAGCCAAAACAGTTTCATCGACAAAGCAATCACAAAACAAACAAAAGCACCAAAAAAAATATATACAAACAACAAAAAATACACAATACAAATCATACAATTCAAAAAAAAAATTAAGTCATTTTAATTACAAAAAGTACACACATGTACAATTGCAGAATAGTAAGCAGTAAATAGATATAATTTTAAGAGTTATAAAATTTTAAATACTTGACCTTTGACCAGTGTGTGAGATGATCAAAATTTTAAAATTCAAAATTGTTCATGATTAAACATCAACAAAAAAGTCTCTCTCCAGTAAGTATGATTTCAGAGCTTTGCGAAATGCGGGAAAGAATGAAAGCGACTTGATATTCAAAGGCAGATGATTGTATATTTTTTTTTTGCATTGTACAGTATTGAACCTTTAACTAGTTCTGAGCCCGGGGTTGGCAGATAAAAATCGTGCTTCGCATTCCTAAGTGGATAGCTATGAGATGGCCTTTCGGGAATAGCAGATATGTGCTTGCGGATTAAGCAAACGGATTCAAAAATTAATAAAGAAGGAAGAGTCAGTATTTTGAAAATTTTAAAGAAATTCTGGCAGTGAGTTCTACTGTTCAGTCCTAATAAATATCGAACTGCTCTCTTTTGAAGTCTGAAAATACGATCAAATTTTGTTGCGCAGCAAGTACCCCAGAATGGAAGGGCATAACGAAGATGTGACTCAAAAAGGGCATAATAGGCTATTCTAGAGGTTGATAAGTTAAGTGATAATATGATAATCTGGCAGACTCCATCCCTAACCTGGAATGGGTGTCCTCCAACGGTCTAAGACACTCGAAAAAGTTCCTCAGAACTTACGACCGAGAAAAATCAAAGGTTTTCCTTGATTTAAGTAAAAACAATCTTCGGATTGTCACGGGGTTTCTAACAGGACATTGTCTCCTCGACAAACACCTCAGTAGGCTGAAGCTGAAAAACAACGGCGAATACAGATTCTGTGGGGGAAATGCAGAAACACCAAAACACCTTATCACTGAGTGCGCCGAGACGACGGCCATTCGTGCCATGAACTTTGCTAACGCTGATGCCGAGGATGGAGTGGTAGCCTTCGTGAAGCCGTCTCAGATACTGGCTTTTGTTAAAGCCCTGAGAGTGTATGATGAGTTATAACTTGTTATAACTCAAGAAAGGGAAAAGTGATTAACTCCCCTCCTAAACATTCTACATTCTACAAAATAAAGACACTTAAAGATATATTAACAAAAATATAAATTATAAATCACATTTCTGAATGTCGTCTTTTAAATTTAGATTCAATATATAACTCTATCAAAGAAAAACATTTTGTATCGAGGTAGAGTATTCTTCATCATTAAATATGGATTGACGTCTAATGGTTAATTAACCTCGGGCTAAAGAGCTTTGACTTTATTATTACGGTCATTAGTAAAAGTATTATTTCTTTAATGTGCTTTTATGGGCTAAAGAAAGTGCAGTTATCGAATCAATAAATTGTATACTTACCCTTTAAACGTGTGTATCAAACAGATGTATTTGAGTATCTTTACGTAAGGATAACGAATGTTGTACTGACAGCCCAAGTCACTAAGTACTATAATATAATAAAACGTTCTTTAATTAGACATAGAATTACATTTAAGCGTAATAATAGGTAAGTGACATAATTAAACATCCAAATAAACAGGGTTATTACAAAAAAAAACTGTGCACGAAAATAACAATAAAGGACTGGCCCATAATTAACTTGCAAGTTTAAGGTCTCTTAAGAGTTTTTGTAAATACTTTTTTTCGTAACGTTTAAATTCTGTTGTACTAAATTAACAGTGTAATTATTTATTGCTGTTGAGTATCACAAAACATTGTGTAACAAACACCAAATAGATATATGTAAGTGTAAGTGGTAAAAATACATTATAACAATAAGTAAAAAAAACAATGTTATAAACAGACAAAAAATCGAATTCTACGTTTAATTTTGTTAGTTTCTAAAAAAATTGTGAATTTTAATCAAAATTTGATTGGGGGGATTTCAATACGCTGATATGCATGAAAGCGGTCGATCATTAGGTAAAATATATGAGGTACTGCAAAAAGTTTAATACAAAAATTATAGGGTTTTTAAATGTCTATTAGCAAGTAATAAATTTTAGTATACATGGCCGGTCATAGAGGCAACTATTAAAATATTGAAAAGAAATGGGATGTTTTTTACCTTAACTTTAAAACACCCTGTGCAATAATTTCGTGAGTAACTTTTCCTAAAACATTATTTTTCGAAAAGAACCGTGTCCACTGGGCATTTTCTTTTTAACTCATGTCAACAAATGCCTTGGTTAATTTTTAAGAGCGAAATGAACATCAATAATTTGCAAATGTTCCAACTGTCATTACTTTATGACGTTATTTTTTAATATTACGAGCTGGCTTTGGGTGACTATTCCTAATGTCATATCAACACTGATTAGAACTCTATATTAATATTTAAAAAAAACGTTAAAAAGTAACGATACAGCACAGAATATCTTGCTACGCAACAGAAAAATACTCGAAATGAAAGAGCTAAAATTGCACAAATAAAATATTAGATGGCGCGACAATATCATAATTATATCATAATTACGTAGCTAGATATTCTGTGGATACAGGCTTGGTTTTAAAAAATATTAATAACACTAACAGAACTAAGGATATTAAAAAAATGACTGTAATAACTAAGTGTACAAACAAACAAAAGAATACTCAAATACTTTGTATTACCTCCCCCGGTTGGTATAACTCTTTATAGCGCCAGTTCATACTTTTAATGAGGCTGCAAATATATTGTGTTATGTTTTCCCATTCTTCTTCAGGAACCAAGCGAATATTCATAATTTCAATGACTTTTGCACAATTTTAGACACTAAGGACCATATTCAAACGTACACAATAATCACCAAATCCACCTTGTCATTATGAAGAGTAACATCAAAAAGTAACGATCGAGGTAAAAATTGCAAAAGTCGAGTTTGTTTTTAAAAATTAATCAAGGCATGCGTTGTCATGATTCAAAAAACAAAATATCCAGGAGACATGGTTCAGGCCGAAAAATAATATTTTAGAAAGTTGGAAATAATAATTTGCTTGTAAGAGTAAATCAAAAGATACTTACAAATATCTAACAGAAACAGTTAACACACAGTAAATTGCAATTCTATCTCTTTACTAGAGCAATACCTAAATCTGTACTGAGGTTTAAAAATCTTTGACCGAAGATCTAAGACGTTGTCCTTCAATTTTCGGCTAGACCATATTATATTAGCAAAACGAAAAATTGTGATGGTCGTAAATTTTTTTCTCAAGATCATTAAGAACGCTATGATCAAATAATAATAATTTATTCAGATGTATTTGCAAATTTATAAAATAGTAATAAAATAAGTGGGCTGGCGAAGATTATGTAATACGAGACATCCGAATGTCATGGAACACTATTATTATTATATCTTATTTAGATAATTTTAAATTAAATATAATTCATGTCTGAAGAAGTATTTTAAAGATATTTACTTGAATATTTTCTTATGTTTAATATTGAATAACTTTGCCTTTTTATTTGAAAATTTTATAATGAATATATTTTTTAGTTATTCTTATTGAAGAAGACACGTTCTTAAAACATCCATTAATATACAGGGTGTCCCAGAAATAAGTGCAAGTATTTTAAGGGGTGGTGAGATGAAAGAAACATATATTCTCTTTATCGTTTTTCAAATAAGCCCAAAATAACGAAGTTATTTTACTTTCAAAATTTCCAAAGAAAAAATGATTTTTTGCTAAAATTTTGAGAATTACTGGATCTTTTCTGGATTTTCTTTCTTGTAAATTTAATCTACTACCTATGTTGCCATATTATCAAGAAATTATTTTTTTAATAAAAAGTAAAAAAATTCCAAAAAAAAATTCAAAAAATGTCGAATTTTCAATTTGTTTTTTCACAAAAAAAACTCATAGGCTTGTTTCTGGGGTTGAACTATACTACCAGTTAAAAAATATTTGCACTTATTTCTGGGACACACTGTATAAATTTCATACTCTTTTATTACTGTTTTAATAATTTCAATTTATCGTTATTTTAATGTAGATAAAGTGCGGTTTAAAACAATTTCATAATTTTTAAATTATTTAAATTAACATCTAACAATAAAATTAAGAGTAACTTAAAATAAAACTTAAGAGTAACTAAAGTATGAAAGATGATAATCTATACTAATGTATAAAATCCTTAAGTGACTGACATACTGATTAATCATGATCCTGCTCAAACCACTCAACGTAGGAAGCTCAATTTTGGCATACAGGTTGATTCTAGGGTGTAGAGGTTCAATAAGAAGGGATTTTTCGAAATTCCAGTTCCAAGGGGGTGAAACCACCCCTCAAATATTACAATATTTTTTATTTAAAAAACGGTCAAGTTTCCGAAAAAACACTTAAACACGTATATTTTATTTTGTTTTTTTACATATTTTAAGATTTATTAAAAATGTATACAGGGTGTTTCAAAAAATCTGGTCACTGATTAATCACGATCCTGCTTAAAGCGCTTGACGCTGAAAGCTGATTTTTGGAAAACAGATTCACTTTAGGGTGTAGAGGTTCCATAAGAAGGGATTTTTCGAAACTCGAATTCTAAAGGGGTTTGAAAACCGGTGAGTTTTTCGGAAAAACTCTTAAACACGTATATTTTATTTTGTTGTTTTACATATTTTAAGATTTTTTATAAATTTATACAGGGTGTTTCATAAAATATGACCATTGAGTAATCACGATTCTGCTTAAACTGCTTGACGTTTAAAGCTGATTTTTGGCAAACGGATTGACTGTGGGGTGTAGAGGTCCGATAAGGAGGGGTTTCTCTAATCTCAAATTCCAAGAGGGTGAAAACGCCCCTCAAATATTACAATATTTGTTATTTAAAAAACGGTTAGTCTTTCGGGAAAACGCTTGGACAAGCATAATTTATTTGTTTTTTTTTTACATATTTTTAAATTTTTTAAAAAATCATACAGGGTGTTCCAAAAAGTTGGGTAATTTCTTCCATTTCGTATGTTAATGGAAATTCTTGCTTTGCTTTATCATCATCATTACAAAATAATTAATTCGACGCGAACGAAGTCGCTGGTATACGCTAGTATCATCATATTTCTGTCAATATGTGACCATGAAAATAATAAGTACCTAAAAAATAATTTTATGTATTTATTTTGACAGTTCCTATTTACTTTAAGGCATTAAATTATTATTTGTAATATTTTATTGTATGGTAACATATTGTAAAATATTCCAAATGAATAAAAAACTGTATTAATTGCTATTTAATTCCACACATGGTATTCAAAGATACTTAATTATTCCCATTTAAGTAATCGTAGCTTATGACGAAACATTTTGAAGATATACTGTTCTTTATGCGTCTACGTAAATTAATTTATATCCATATATTATAATATATTATTTAAAACACAAACCTTATTGTCACATTTTCCTTAACCTATTTTAAAGTTTAAGTTAAATGGAAAAATTAGTCCAACATACGCACTATTTAGCAATAATTTGCCGTAAGCAGAGATATAAACAATATTTATGCGTATATGTACATATGTAAATATATTAGGCAAGTCAAATTGGATTTACTACGGGGTCAACTTAAAAAAACTTTGGCGCAATTACAGGGGTGCCGCCCCCCCCTGACCCAGGTACTGCTGGGCACCCCCCAGAGAAATCCTGAATTATGACTCTTGGCTACGTATTAATTTTTATTTGCTTGTGATGCAGTAAAAATGACATTTTCTAGTTTTGTTTAGTTAATATTATTTTGTTGTGTTCAAAAAATGTGTTAATTTTTATTTTTTTAGAAAATTTGTAGGTATTTAAGTAATCTACGGGAACACGGTTTGATAACCAAGTCTATGAAATTTATTGATAGAGAAATTCATATAAACGTTTTATTCAAAAAATGTGTTTTTTGAAATTATTTTTAATTTCTAAGAAAAGAAAGGCCCTAGGCCCCCTCTGGGCTCAACACCAGCCAAATTCATTTTATTCTTTAACCTATTTTGGGACTTCCAGACAAATAAATAAATGTACTTAAGTATAAATAGACATATATATTATAATAGACATATATATTTATACTTTAGTATAAATAGACATCTCATACACAGCTTTTAAAGTAGACAATAGTTTTGGAAAATTAATTATATATTGTAAAACAAAAACAAACTGCAACAATGGAGTTTTTTTATTAGTTGAATTGTAGGTTCTGTAATAAAACATATTGGCCAAAGAGGACGTTTGCGTTTCTTGGGTAAAAGAATAAAAGAACCGTAGTTAAACCAACAATAAACTAAGTTATAATCATCCATCCCAGTTATATGATAAAAATCATGAATTTGAAAATAAATATAAAATAATATCTACATCTCCATTGTTAAATTTATTTTCATCATAAAACCCTTATTTGTGTAGATTTTACCAACTTTAATAATACTGTTGTGCTGCTGCTCCATGGCAAGAGTCTAACATCTATTGCCACACACTAGAGGTGGGCAAAGATTGAACGAGTCGTTTATTTGAACGAGTATTAAAAATGAATCATGAGATTCGATTCATTGCTTGCAATCTGGTTCGTTCAATTGAATCGTGGCCAGCATGGATCCATAACATTTGAACGATGAGCCGCAAAAAAGAATTGTGAGAATTGAATCGGGTCACAATGTGATCGTGCGTTCAAAAAGTCGTGACAATTGATTCATTGCTTACAATACGGTTCGTTCAATTGAATCGGGCCAGCACGGATCTATAAGATTTGAACGATGAGCCGTAAAAAAGAATCGTGAGAATTGCTTGATTGCTTACAATACTGTTCGTTCAATTGAATCGTGACCAGCACGGATTCATAAGATTTGAACGATGAGCCGTAAAAAAGAATCGTGCGAATTGAATCGGATCACAATGCGATCGTTCCTTCCTACGGCGCGGCGCGGCTGTGATAGAAGCATGAGTGCAGGCACCAATATTTAGACTTGAACAAAAGCCCTAAACAAACATCATGGGCATAAAATGCAAACGATAAGAAAGTTATTTACAAGAAAAAAAAACTTGTTTATACTGTGCTTAGTATCTGTAACGTATTTAATTTTCACGTTAATATTTTTGTTAAAATAATATTACCAACTACTTATAGACGGAGAGCTGGCTACATAAAAAAAACCTTATCATTGTTACATGGCTGATTTTTTGTGTGAAGTATCCTTTGTGTAGCCATTGTGAAATAGTCTGGTCTGCCAGCGCGATCCCGAGGCTTAAAGCGGGGGCGGCCAATCGAAAGGGTAAAATTTTGACACTAAAAATATTATAAGGTACACGAGTTATAATTGCCAAATAGCTTTTTATTTAATATTAAGAAACGTGTAAAATTGTTGACAGACATTTTTCTCGTGGCTGAAATGCCGGCAGACAACGCGAAAGAGGCATAGAATTTTGACAAAAGAAAATCATCGCATACATGCATGTCGATTGGTGGAATGTCATGTTTATTGTTGATTAATTTAAAAAGCCGTATGCAAAAGGGCAGACAAAAAATCGTTATTGAAATAATAAAAAAATATATTTATAATATAATCGTATACTATATGATTTATCTATACTTAAATGGATGAGGCGGCGAGCGTTCTCTGAAAGCGCTAGAGTAATATCGCGCTTTTGATAACTGTCTGCAGCTGATTTAGTCACGATCTTTTTGTCTGCCCTTTTGCATACGGCTTTTCAAATAAATAAATATATGACATTTCACCAATCGGCATGCAAATATGCCATATTTTATTTCATTCTTCAAATTTAATTTTTTAATAATTTTTAAAATTTCACGCCTCTTTCGCGTTGTCTGTCGGCATTTTAGCGACTAGAAAAATGTCTGCCAACAATTTTCGGCGTTTCTTAATAATAAATAAAAGCTGTTTTTGCAATTATAACTCGTGTATCTTATAATATTTTTAGTGTAAAAATTTCACCCTTTCGATTGGCCGCCCCCGCTTTAAGCCCCGGGATCGCGCTGGCAGACATGACTATTTCATAATGGCTACACAAAAGGATACTTCACACAAAAAATTAGCCATGTAACGATGATAAGGTTTTTTATGTAGCCAGCTCTTCTATTATTAAATGTCGGACTAAAAGACGAAATCGTGTTTTTATGCAACTCCAAATAAATATTGTTGGCCTCTGCTCAATGTGATAAAAAAACGGCGTCAGCGATGGTTATAAAATCAAGATCGCTATTATTAAGTAACTTAACGTTAGTACTTATGGACTACTCTGTATATGATAACATAAATAGATGTTACAAATACAATCTCCTGTAGAACATGTGGGATCGCATGTCTTAGGAAGATGTATTAACATTTGCGTAATAGAAATGTAATAATATATTTAAGTACATTGTAATGGTATCAATTCATTCAGTTACTGAGAATCAATTAGTTGTTAAACGATTAGATAAAAAAATAGACAATGAATGGAGTATCGTCAAAAGTAGTTTTATTATGTAAATTATTGTCAAATTAATCTAACAAACCCCGGCTGTAGTAGGACCACAGAATAAATTCTGTGTTAAGACATCATTCGCTCAGAAGGGACTCTGATACTCCCTAATCGACGACAAGATACGGGCATTTCCGTAACATATCTTTAACAGTTTCGTTTTTCTATTTATATTTTCCGACCTGACCCTAAATAGGGGTGTGCCACTAAGCTTCATTTTGCAAAGATGACAATTAAGATTTGACAATATGTGGTATGAATTCCAAATACACTTCTTCGCAGTCTGCTTCTGGAATGCATTAAAAATGTAATTGTTGTTTCTGTATTAGGGTTCTGCAAAGCTTATTTACATTATACACTTTCAATCCTTTCCCTTATTCAAGTACTTGTCGTTTTGTAGGGTATCGTTTTTGATTTCATCTGATCTCGTCGCGATAGATATAGTCGGTTCAACAACTCAGGGAAGATTTTGACACACGACATCAAAAAAAATGACATAAATTACAATTTGTCTGTGAAGTAAAATGACATACACGATTCTCACTTGCAGGAATCCTCCCATTGGAAGATCGCTATCAAATCTCATAAGGAAGAGTTAAAAAAAATAAAGATGATTTTTATTAAAGATGCATATACCTAAAATGTAAGGATTTTGACATATTTCACATTTGGTGAAAATGAAGAGTAAATTTTAAATTTCAATAACAGCTACCTAAATTTTACTTGACCTTGTATAGGCTGATATTTAATTACAGTAACTATTGTATGTTAAACCAAATTAAAATTTGGCCCGAAAAGTTATACAGGGTAAGACACAATAATTATGGAACATTAGTCACTTTTAAAAGCAAGTTACTCCTTTATTTTAAATGGAACATCCAGTATATTATTCCGGTGTCAATTCATACATCTTTAAAATATTATTAAGGTTGCCCGCCCCTGAGACAAAGACTTTACTAGATATTTGAATTTTTTTGATTTTTCCTCAGTACATCTTTAGTATTTGAAAATATGTAGGTGGCTGTGATATACCATTTGTTAATTTAACAAAAATTAAAGGATGTAGAGTAAAATACTCAACGGTAATAAAAAAATACACGTTTAAAAAATATTTTAATTATTACAGAATTAAATCTAGATGTAAACCTATAATTATGTGACAAAAATTAGCTAGATGAAATCAAATGCTTAAAAAATTCTTCCTTTCCCGTTAACTGCGTAAAAAGATTGCCTTTTCAAAAATAATAATAATAATTTTTAGAATTTTTTTTTAAATTTTAATAAAAAAACATAATATTTTCATAATACGGCAAAATAGGCAAAACATTATTTATGTATATAATAGGCAAAGCACTTATTTAAGACTCACCCTGTATGTATCTTATATCTATAGTATAATATAGTGTCTGTTCAACGATTTAGGTAAAATTGACAGGAAATAAAATTTACACGAGCATTAAAATGATAGACACAACTCTCACTGTCATGCATCCTCTGGTTGGACAAACTACTATAATATATTCAAGGTATATCAACACAATTATTGTAATAATTGGCAGTCTTAATAAAAATAAGATTATATATATATTCTTATATTTATATTTTATTAATTTTATTTGCAAGTATACATTTTTAATCGACACATAAGTATCTAAAACTAGGAGTAATAATAGTATCCACTTGTTTTCCACAGAAGGTTTCCAAATGATCAAAGATGTTCTCGCTTTCCTCCATTTTTTTTCGCCACATATCTATAGAAAGAAACATGTTTTATTTATTAATATACAATGTTTTTCACGCAACTAGCTTATTAAAAAGATAGAATCTAATTTAGATACAAAAGTTTGAATGTTTTAACTTAAGGTTATTTCTTGGTCTTTTTAAATATTTTCTATTTTCACTTTCTCTTTTCAAAATGGCAACTTCATTGTTTCACTGGATGTGACTGCCATTTTGATTGAATTAATTCCTTAATATTCTGCGTTAAATTATCATGTACCGGGTGTCCCACTAAGAATAGCTCTCGGCTGTATCTCGGAAAGTATTAGCCGTAGGGCTTACTTAGGAAAAAAATATTTATAACTAAAGGGGCTATGAGAAATTGCTGGAAATTATTTTCAAGTTTGTAAAACGGCCGCTAGGTGACGCAACTGCTATGGAAAATAAGAAAATAGATTTTTTACAGAATTTTGCCTAGATAATGGGTACTATAAATAATACCTTCATAATCTTCACTAAATTTTGGAATTTTTTTGTTAGAACCATTTTTCCCTATATGCTAAAATAAAGTGGTGGGGGAAGGTTAGATCTATCTTTATTTAAATGTTAATAACTCCGAATTGGATGATCAGAATCCAACAAACGAGGGCTCGTTTAAAAGAGACTGTCTTACTCTACATTACACCATAATAATAATAATAATAATAGGGGTTTGAACGTAGACGCTAGGGGGCGCTTTCTTACAATTTAACAAACATAGCGCGTTTTTTCAAAAAAATTAAATACGATAGTATGTGCTATTTTAGCTGGTAGTAAGGAGTAGTAAAAGCTTAAAAAGTCAGCGAAAACCGCATCTTGATATCTTCTTTCAAACCGAAGATATTAGCAAAGTTATAATAAATACCAAAAAGTAAGCCCTTAATTACCTTACTTTTACAATACAATATCAGTAGCCCTCTTGATTAGGCCCATTCTAACAAAAAAATAAGATAAAAACAGTTAGTTTATTTTAAAACCGACGAAATACCAGAATAACATTATACCAGATGTATTAATATCTAATAATTAAGATATTAATAATAGTGAACAAGAAACGGTGATTCAGTGAAGTCATGGTAGGCTTTGGAAAAAAGTTGCTGTTCGCGTAATAGTATAAACGTCAAATTGTTATTGGATCAACATTTTGATAGTTTTAGCAGCGTTTTTTTTTATCTTTTAAATGCTTTTTGAAAATGCCTTTATTATTTGAAGAAGTTGAAGTTGTTGGCATTTTGAAAAAGCAATCAAAAGATAAAAAACGCTGCTAAGACTATCAAAATGTTGATCTAATAACAATTTGACGTTTATACTATTACGTCAAAAGCAACTTTTTTCCAAAGCCTACCATGACTTCACTGAATCATCGTTTCTTGTTCAATATTATTAATATCTTAATGATTAGATATTAATACATCTGATATTATGATATTCTGGTATATCCTCGATTTTAAAATAAACTAACTGTTTCTATCTTATTTTTAAGTTAGAATGGGTATAATCAAGAGGGCTACTGATACAGTGTTGTAAAAGTAAGACAATTAAGGGCTTATTTTTTGGTATTTATTATAATTTTGCTAATATCTTCGGTTTGAAAGAATATATCAAGATGCGGTTTTCGCTGACTTTTTAAGATTTTACTACTCTTTACTATCAGCTGAAATTACATATACTATTGCATTTAATTTTTTTGAAAAAACGCGCAATGTTTGTTAAATTGTAAGAGAACGCCCCCTAGCGTCTACGTTTAAAAGCTTATTATTATTATTTATACGGTACAATATAGAGTAAGAAACGCCCTTTTACGCGAGCCCTAGCTTGTTGGATTCCGGTCATCCAGTCCAGAGTTATTAATATTCAAATAAAAACAGATGTAACCTTCCCCCACCACTTAATTTTGGTAGATAGGGGAAAATGGCTCTAACAAAAAATATTCAAAATTTACTGAAGATTATAAAGCTGTTACTTATAGTACACCTTATCTAGGCAAAATTGTGTAAAAACTCCATTTTCTTATTTTTTGTTGCAGTTGCGCCCCCTAGCGGTCGTTCTACAAACTTGAAAAAAATTTCCAGCAATTTCCCATAGCCTCTTTAGTTATAAATATTTTTTTCCGCAGCCGCTACGGCTAATACTTTTCGAGATACAGCCGAGAGCTATTGTTAGTGGGACACCCTGTACTTTAGTTTAACAATAAAATATTTTGATTTTATGTCAAATATGTTGTTTGTCTTTTAGAAAATGTTTTACCTTACTTAAAACTTTACAATAATTTATTAAATATTCTAGATACCCATAAAAATTGTTACAAAATACTATATTAACAATGTTATAAAATACAGGGTGGCGATGGCGTCTCGGTACTCTCATACGTCGCGGAAGATTTAAGGACAACGGTAGTTTATATCGAAATGAAATTTGGCAGCATATGTATGTTAACAGAAAGCATTTTATAAACATATATAGAATTATACAGGGTGTCCCCAAAAAAGTTACACATCAAAGTTGTGTTTTTTCTAATAAATAAACACCCTATATATTAATTGAATTTCGGATTCTAGGAAAAAAGAAAGGTGAGTTTTATTAAGAAGCGTATACCTAAAATCTAAGGATTTTGACATATTTCACATTTTGTGAAAATGACGAGTAAATTTTAAATTTCGATAACAGCTACCTAAATTTTAGTTGATCTTGTTTAGCCTGATATTTAATTACAGCAACCATTGTATATTAAACTAAATTGAAATTTGACCCGAAAAGTTATACAGGGTGAGACAAAATTAATATTGAACAATAGTCCCTTTAAAAACCAAGTTACTCCTTTATTTTAAATGGAACACCCAGTATATTTTTCCGGTGTTAAATGGAGAATGTATTTATCTTCAAAATATTATTAAGGTTGTCTACCCCTCAGACAAAGATTTTCGTAGATATTTTAATTTTTATGATTTTGCGTCAGTAGTTATTTATTATTTGAAAAAAATCTAGGTAACTGTATGATATATTTTTTGTTAATTTAACAAAAATTAAAGATTATAGAGTAAAATACTCAAAGGTAATAAAAAGATACACTTTAAAACATATTTTAATTATTACAGATTTAAAAGTAGATATAAACCTATAATTATGTGACAAAAATTAGCTAGAAGAAATCATATGCTCAAAATGCTTCATTTCCTGTTAACTGCATAAAATGATTGTCTTTTCAAAAGAATCTTTTCATTTTAAAAGACATATGTGTTCTACCTCCGAAAACAGCTACAATAATTTCTCTCATGTTGTCCACAATAGTCTTTAACATATCCCCATAAAAAAAAACAGACTAGATAAAATCAGGAGCATTTAAGTATTCGATTAATTAATAAATATATAAACTAATAGAATCATATCAATTCTTTCTGATGTAGGATCTTTGCATTTTCGGCAAATTTCTGAGACATTTTTTTGTTTTAACTGACACAAAATGATAACTATTTGTTAAAGTTGGACTAATAATTAGACACCTATGTTGAAGTACCGTCAGACATATCACAGCCACCTAAATTTTATCAGATAATAAAGATCAACTCAGATCAAATCGTATAAATTATAATATCTAGGAAAATCTTTGTGTGGGGGTAGGCAACATTAATAGTATTTCGAAGAGATATGAATTATCCATTGAATATCGGAATAATATAGTGGATGTTCCATTTAAAATAAAAGAGTAACATCCTTTTAAAGGTGACCAATGTTCAATGTTAATTTTGTCTCACCCTGTATAACTTTTTGATCAAGTTTTAATTTGATTTAAAGTACAATAGTTAATTTAACTACATATTAGGCTATACCGGGTAAATTCCAATTTAGGTAGCTTTTATTGTAATTTAAAAATTGTTCTTTATTTCTAGAAAATGTTAAATATGTCAAAAACCTTACATTACAGAAATTCAGTTAATATGTAAGGTGTTCCATTACAAAAAACACAACTTTGATATGTAACTTTTTTTTGGGGACACCCTGTAGAACTCTCTATATTTTTAAAAAGTGCTTTGAATTAACCTACATATGCTCCCAAAATTTCATTAAAATACAAACTGTCGTTCTCCTTGGAGCCTCCGCGGCGTGTGGCGTATGGCTGTATTTTTAAATTAAAACAAACATGTTCTTCTTTTCAGATTATTTCCAAATCTATCTCTCTATTCAAAATAATTCAGTATGTTTAACGAGTTAAATCACCTTGTAGTTCCTGTAGCGACGGACAGCTTCCATCATAGTCTCTGGGCAAAACATCCCTTGGTAAGTACTCATATAAGGTTTCTGTATTTTTATGTATGTGTATCTGTAAGTAATAAAAAATTACCAAAATCTTAAATAAAATTAATCCATAGATTAAGAAACTATTACGAAATATATTTTTGATAATTTGGACGAGTTTAAATATCAAGGCAAAAAAATTTCCAAATCTGTTGTGTGCAACCTTAAACTTAATACTAAATATTACACAATTAAGTAATGTTGTAACCGTTTTAATTTGCAAGCATATTTTTATAATTAATCTATAAAATGGTCATTAACATTAAAAAGGTATTGAAAATTGCATACTGTTATCTGTAGGTAAAAAAAAATCTATCAAAAGCATAGAATATATGCCAAGTCTCGCAATGCAATTCTTCCACTAGAAAAAGTTGTGAGATCTCATGTAAAACCAAGTCAGATATTTTATTTATTTTCTATTGAAGTAGTTTTTTATACCCCTAAGTGATAAGAGTGGCCCACCTCAATTTTTTTTGGACAAAATTTTGTATTTTTATTTTTTTATGATTTGACAATAAAAAATACATACAACACTAAATTTTCACCCTTCTACCATCAACCCCTATTTTTTAATAGCGATATTAATAATTCAATAGTTTTAATTTAACAACAAATTGTTTTTAAACATTTTTAGAATACCTTCGGGCATCTGTAGCTCCCAAAAATAAAAAACTTGGAAATATTGTTTAAGTGCAGATCTATATACAGGGTGTCCTATGCTGAGCGTGCATTAGAAGTTTCTTGAGAACCACAATATCTAGATCGGAGATTTTTTGAACATCATTGATTTGCAACGAGATCTATCGATTAAAAATATTTTCAATATGGCGACACTTCCAGAAATACCAGAAGTTGACAGCAACTTTCTTATTTTAAATGGGTGCCCCCATTTTTCATTACATACTTAAATTCTCTGTAAAATTTTACGAATTTTGATATTAAACACTCTATATCTAACATTGACCGTTTTTGAGAAAAAAAAAATTAAAATTTTTGAACGAAAAAAACTGCCTGTCAAAAATATGTGTATAGCCTAAACGTCAAATTTAGTGATTACTTCAGCCACTATGCCATCAAGAGAAAATATTATGTGGCTATCTATTTCAAAAATTAAATTGTTCGAATGTCATATAATAATGGCCGCAGCTGTCATAGAATTGAGCGATAAATAAATTATCATAAATCATTTTTTTCAAATGGAAACTCACTTTTTTTATTTCACTAGTGAAAAGGCTTTTCAATTCGTTACTTTTTAGCTATTCATGTTCCTATACCTAAAATAAATCGTTTTTAAGTTATTTAAGATTTAGTTTTAAAGCGTATATTTTTCTTGATTTTATCTAGCTTCCTATTCCTAAACATTTTTTGCATTCAATTATTTCAAAATTTTTAACGGTTTCGCAGATATTTGCGGTTTTATATTTCATATGGCATTTTTTCCCAGTAAATTTTTATCAAAGCCACTTAATGATTTTTCGCTCGTATTGTACCGTTGAAAGAGCTATATGAAATAATACTGCCTGTATCTGCGAATCCATTAAAATTTTTGAAATCCTTTAAATACAAAAAATGTTCATTTTTGAACTCTTCGTCTAATAATAAAATAATATACAGGGTTTTCCAATTAAAAGAAGCCAATAATAATTATTTTATATTTTAGAAAGTTCGGCGTAGACTTTCGAACATCCTGTATGATTTACCATTACCATATTTATAGCAAAGTAAGTACAGACCATCTAAAGTAAATAAATAATATAGTTTTGATTTCAGGACAGTTCTTGTATTTTTAATAATATCTTTAAGAAATGCTGAAAAAAATATATTTTTTATTTATTAATATCTCTGAAATTATCGAAATATATTTACTCATATCTTAGGATTATGGTAAAGTGATCTGAAAGGACGCCAAAAATGCAATAAAATACAAGGTGTTCAATTTAAAAAAAAATCATTCCAAATCTACTCACACTTTTTAGAGCAACTCTATAGAAGAAAAAATATTTTCTCAAATACATCCTCGTACATACTTTAGGTTTTCACTGAAACAAAATTTTCATTTTTTTTTATTCTAGTAACTATAGATGCCCGACGCACTATTGCCGGAGCCTTTTGCGGGTAGTCCCATTCCCACAAAAAGAGGTATAGTACATCGAAATTCTATACCAGCAGCAAAAAATTGGCGCCGGGAGGCACGTATAGCCGCCCATACGAAAATATGTTAATAAAAAGTTGGTAGGCAGTTCTTTTACTTTCAAAGTAAAGGAATTTTTCCAATTTTGGTCCGCGGTTATTTCCCTTATCCGCCACTTGGGGTCGCGTCCGATGAGAGTTTGATTTTCTCAAAAACGGACTACGGAAACACGGAATATCTCAAAAACTGCGACTTTGACTGATTTTGATGTTATTACGAATTTTGTTGCAAATATTATTCCTAATTTTAAATTGAAAACCGCGTTTCGCTAGCTACTGTAATTTTGAAGTTACGATTTTTAAAAATTTTTAACTCCCTCCCATACCCCCTTACCAACCACCCACACCCACCAAAAACAAATGGCCAGATTCTTGGGTGTATTTTTGTGCCAAATTTGGTTCAAATCGGTTTAGCGGTTTTTGAGTTATCGTGTTACAGACGGACAGACGGATAGACGGACAGACGGACAGACGGACAGACGGACAGACGGACAGACGGACAGACGGACAGACGGACAGACGGACAGACGGACAGACGGACAGACGGACAGACGGACAGACGGACAGACGGACAGACGGACAGACGGACGGGACAGACGGACAGACGGACAGACGGACAGACGGACAGACGGACAGACGGACAGACGGACAGACGGACAGACGGACAGACGGACAGACGGACAGACGGACAGACGGACAGACGGACAGACGGACAGACGGACAGACGGACAGACGGACAGACGGACAGACGGACAGACGGACAGACGGACAGACGGACAGACGGACAGACGGACAGACGGACAGACGGACAGACGGACAGACGGACAGACGGACAGACGGACAGACGGACAGACGGACAGACGGACAGACGGATAGACGGATAGACGGACAGACGGACAGACGGACAGATACCATGAAAATATTTTGTATTTAGGTGATTTATGACCCAAATAACTCATTTTGAGTAAAATTAATAAAAAAAAATTGCCGATCTTAATAGTCTACCATACCTGTTGGTATGTCCGGCTAAAAATAATTAGAAAAAATGATTAATATTATAACCACTAGATCTAACAACATTATATATAATTTTCGGTACTTACCCTATTTCGAAGCTTTTCTTTAAGCATCTTTTTGATTAAATTTATAATCATTTCAACTGAACTATGCAGATTTAGATAATGAATACCAGCAACTCTATTGGAATATACTTTCTGGAAAATAAATTATAGTAGAATATTAATTAATATGTTACCTATGTTTTTGTTTCTATTTTTCAAAATTTGGGATTTTTTTCAAATTTAAAATTTTGCATTTAATTTTTGAATTTTTATAGAAATTTTCTCAAAGAAAAAAGGTAAAAAGTGATTAATTTAATGTAATTACACTACTGTTTGCAACATAGGGTACTTTTAATTACAAAGCCATGGCATTGTTAACAAGAATATCAGTCTTATTCCTCTATATCCATATTATTCTACCGGGTAGTGCTTGGAAACAAACATAAGAAATCCCATGCAACATTGTTCAAATTTGATAATGAATTTATTTTTAGTTTTTAGTTAAAATCATAATTTCTTGATAATATGGCAACATAGGTAGTAGCTTTTATAATGTCGTCAAAATTTAAAAATAAAAAAATATTTTTTTTAAATTTTCAAATTAAATTTGGTCCATTATTTTGGGCTTATTTGAAGAACGGCAAAGAGAAAATATGTTTCTTTTATCGAGATCTACCAGCCTTGAAAATATTTGCACTTACTTATTTGTTTATTTATTTTAGTATATTTTTTTCTATCTCTATATGCAAAATATAAAAGATAACACTCGTATTAATAGTTATTTTTTATACAAGACGATAAAATGTTATTTTATCGTCGACCGAAAAGATTAATTCACGAGCGATGAAATCGCGAGTGAATTAATTTCGGAGGACCATAATGCAATTTTATCGTCGTGTATAAAACAATATTTTTTTCCATAGCGAGTTACGTTTTAAAAAATATTCAGAAATTATTATTTCAAGAAATTTATTACGAGTAGAAAAAATATTGTGCTGGGTTGGCGTTGGTTTCTATGTAATTTGACAAATAAATAAAGCTGTCTCTTTAGTTGTCAGTTTTGAGTCAATATTTTTTAATTCTCTTTCGTGTCAATTGCTGATTGAATTGGAGCCAGAAATGGCTCAGGCTGAGGCGACAAACGCCATATCCGAACTACTTCCATTTAAATCCCGAATAACTTATGAAAAGGAATACAAAAATTTTCAAAAATGGAAGCAATTAAAAAACGTACGAGAAGAAATAAGTTTTTAACCTACCCCCCTGTTAAAGTATTATTTAATCTACCCTTGCGGTTAAAGTACTATTTTATCTACTATTTTTGATAGATATAAGGCAATTTTAACAGTTGCTATGAAAAAAAGTATATTTTGGACAACTTACTTCTAAAACCATTCCTGATTTTTTTAACGCATCTGGCGTTAACTTTAGAAAATGAGCCATTGTTAAGCCTTCCATGTCGTATAACAATATGTCGCTTGTTGCCACGTCCTCTCTAATTCGAATTTCGACGACATTATAGGCATGAGCGAAAAAATTATAAGCGTCGAATTTATTCGGATCTAGATCTTTAAGTTTTACGAATACTATTCTATTTAGGTTTTCGGTAAGTCGAGGCAGCGGGAAGCAATATCTAGAAGAAAGATATATTTAAATATAAGGTTAAATATTATAAAATCTTAATGACTACAGAATACAAGGATATGTAACGCCCATATACGGGCTGCAGCAGAATTTGTGACTTTAGACGCCATCATTTTGGAGCCTATGGATGAGTCACCACCTCGCCAATAATGACAATTTTAGCGATTTTTTATAATTTGTTGTGTGTAGTGAACTTTGTATAGACTTTATTACAATGGTGATGTGTTCAGCTTTCAAGTGTAAAAACCGCAACGATAAGAAAGAGCCAGGAGTCTTACGCCACTCTATACAGGGTGTCCCAGAAATAAGTGAGTATTTTAATTGGTAGTATATTATATGGCAACATAGGTATTAGATTATATTTACAAGAAAGAAAATCCAGAAAAGATCCAGTGATTCTCAAAATTTTAGCAAAAAATATTTTTTTGGAAATTTTCAAAGTAAAATAACTCCGTTATTTTGGACTTATTTGAAAAACGGTAAAGAGAAAATATGTTTCTTTTATCGAGATCTACCACCCCTTAAAATACTTGCACTTATTTCTGGGACACAAGGATCTAAAGGACACTGGACACTGGATATAAAGATTATTAAGATTTTAACACCCTAGAGCTGCGAAACAAAGCAGAATCGGACCTATGTTGATATGAAAAAATAATTTTATTTTTACGTGAGGAATCTCCCCACGAGAGATGGCACATGTTTTTTGAAACACCCCGTATAAGTTGATTTTAGAGGTAAAGTTATAATAGCTTTTCAGTACAAATATTTTAAGTTATTTGCCATTTTTTATCAATATAAATATAATCTTCACTAAAAAAATGTCAAACCCAATTTAAATCTTTAAAAACAGAGGTAAACAGAGTTTATAAAATGTAAAATTTCAGGGCTTATTAAATTTAGCTTTGCGAATTTTTCTATCATATATATTTCTCAAATCAATCATTTTTCAGTTCAAAGCTGACATGGGAAAAAAAGTCCCTAATTTTGTTTAACTTTTAAAATTTCACATCCCTTTTTCACTTTATATTTTTATTTTACAAGAAACAACAACAATTTTGATAGCTAGAACACAGCATTTGCATTAAATTTTGATAAATTCTTCAGCAATTTCAATAAATAATATAATATAGCAGTAATATTGAATTACAACTAAATATTTAAACTTACACTGTCTCAGCTATCTCCTTCATGTGAGGTAATTTCGGATGCTTATTGACATAAAAATCTGGTATTTCTGACCTAATTTTGTAATACATTTCTAGCTTAGTTTTACTTTTATCTATATTAAACTTGTTCATAATTAAGAATGCTTCCAGCATGTTTCTGCCTAAAATTTTATATTAAAAAAATGTATATTATCAGATACATGATTTTGAAACATAAACGCGATATAACTACACTAACTAACTATAACTAACCTAATATATGGTGATTCACGGTGATGGTACGTTATAGACTTTAATGGAGAACCGGTGATATTTTTTTTTGAAAATTTGGTTGGTTACAATACATAAAGGCACCTGCTACATCTCTCTAAAATAGTTTCAGCGTTACAAGTTGCCCCATCATTTGAAAAGTGGTAGCATTTTACTTATCTTAACGGGGGAACATCCGGTATATTATTACATTTTTGGAAACTACTTTCATATCTCATAATTTTTCTATTATACTAACCTATACCTATCTCTAATAAAATTGACAAAAACATGATCTTGAATGAGCATTGTAAAATCATGAATTGAACACTTTAAAACGTGAAATTTGGGTTATAAGTTGAGGAAAGTCTATATATTCGATCTATCTAAATCAACTCATTATATGGTGGTGATATCTGTCTTACATCTTAAATGGAATTGGGCAGGACATGTGGCTAGGATGACAGATGGACGGTGGACAAAGAGACTTGTGGAATGGAGACCGAGACACGAGGCCTATAGAAGCAGAGGACGACCTCCTAGTCGATGGACAGATGACATTAAGAGGATGGCTGGAAACTGGATTCAAGTGGCACAAAATAGAAGGAAATGGGTAGAGTTAAGGGAGGCTTTTGTTCAGCAGTGGACGGTATAAACTAAATGATGATGATGATGGTGAAATCAACTCATTGGATATTACACAGGGTGAGCCAAAAAAATATTTATTTCGGTTGGTTATAAAATTGCTGAAATCTTTGTTATTTAATAATTTAATTTACATATTATTTAAAAGATCAAAATACTAATAAAATAGCTTTTCAACGATATACAGGGTGGTGCCAACTCTATTCCGAAAACTCTTCGGCAACATATTCTGCAGATAAAAATAAGTAAAAAAGTTCGTATAAATGTATGTCCTAAAATGCTTAGTTTCGGAGATATGGGGTGTCGAAGATTCTTTTTTATTTCAATTTTTTCAAAATAATTTATAAAGTAACGCCAATATTTGGATGAAAATTGGTGTCTAGGAGTTTTTTGACATGAAAAATTTGAATTTGATGTCAAAATGACTCCTACTTGTAGAGGGCGCCAACTATAATGTTTTAACTGGTTTGAAGAGTAATAACTTTTCGACTGTACCTTATAAATCTAATGAGTAAAAAAATATACATTTACGACGTTTTTTACGTAAAATAGGTCTCTTGGTAAAAATCGCTATAAGTAATGGTTCTCGAGATATTTGGAATCGAAATTATCAATACCTGTCATCATTGACATAAATTAAACATGTTGACTAAATAGTTATTACACTGAAATCATAAATTTGAAATGTTTTTGTGCTAAAAGTTCAAGAGAAACTGTTTTATCATCATTTTATTCGCAGAAAAATGTATGATTAATTTAAAAAAATAAAAATTTCCCAAATTTATTATTTAGGTCAAATAACTATACACTCAACGTGTTCATTTTTTTTTCAATAATGACATGTATTGACTATTTCTATTCTTGAGAATATATCACACAAATATCTTGAGAACGGTTGCTCGTAGTGATTTTTACCAAGAAACATTTTTTACGTAAAAAATTACGGAAAGGTATATTTTTTCACTCTGTAGTTTTATGCGGGTACGGACGAAAAGTTATAACTCTTCAAAACAGTTAAAACACATGTAGGCGTCTACAAATAGGAGTCAAAAAAAGTATATATATATATATATATATATATATATATACATATATATATATATATATATATATATATATATATATATATATATGTATATATATATATAGTTGCGACAACCCTGGAGTATATATATATATATATATATATATATATATATATATATATATATATATATATATATATATATATATATATATATATATATATATATATATATATATAACAACAATATATCTCACTCTTTCTATATATATATATATATATATAGGGTAGGTAAAAGGAAGGAATTAAAAAGGCGATATGGGAAGCCAAGAAAAATCTTGGTATGTCGCAGCGGAGAGAGGTACAAAGTGATGGAAGGGGATGCCAGATTGTTACAGGCAAATTTCGACTTAAGGCAGCGACACATATATACATATATATATATATATATATATATATATATATATATATATATAATGGCCTTCTGTAATTATATATATATATATATATATATATATATATATATATATGTATATATATATATATATATATATATATATATAACTTTCTATATATATATATATATATATATATATATATATATATATATATATAGGGTAGGTAAAAGGAAGAAATTAAAGGCGATATGGGAAGCCAAGAAAAATCTTGGAAGAGTGTCATAGCGGAAGTACAAAGTGATGTCTGGGGGAAGGGGGATGCAGATTGTTACGAACAAGGCTTAAGCGGCGACACACATACCAGCGGAGGTGGTACTAAAGAGAAGCCGAAAAACTTTTCCGAAAACATCGGAGATAAACTGGGCCCCATATCGCAATAGAAACTTCTGAAATACCACTCTGGTCTTTGGACAGATTGAAAGCTGCAGTTACCAAGCTAAAACCAAAAAGAAGGCTGCAGGGACCAGATGGGCTTCCCCAGAGGTTATAAAATGCGCGTTGGAGAAGATCCCTAGGCAGTGCTTGGAGCTCATGAACCAGCAGCTGAGAATAGGAATATTTCCAAGGATATGGAAAGTGGCAAAAACTTGTGCTCATAGAAAAGCCAAGAAAGCCAGAAACGAACAGCGTATCCTACCGCCCCTGAGTTTACTAAACTGCATAGGAAAGGTATTAGAACATCTTATAAAGACCGCAACATGTTACTGAGATAGAGAACAACGGAGGCTTTGCGACTCACAATTTGGCTTTCGAAAGGGGCGTTCTACGGTCGATGCAATGGGAAGAGTTCTCTCGGCATTATAAAGTAACAAAAATATTTGGATGAAAATTGGTGTCTAGGAGTTTTGACATGAAAAATTTGAATTTGATGTCAAAATGACTCCTACTTTAGAGGGCGCCAATGGATAGATGTTTTTAACTGGTTTGAAGAGTAATAACTTTTCGACTGTACCTTATAAATCTAATGAGTAAAAAAATATACATTTACGACGTTTTTTACGTAAAATAGTCTCTTAGGTAAAATCGCTATAAGTAATGGTTGCTCGAGATATTTGGAATCGAAATTATCAATACCTGTCATCATTGACATAAATTAAACATGTTGACTAAATAGTTATTACACTGAAATCATAAATTTGAAATGTTTTTGTGCTAAAATCAGAAGAAGTGCAGAGGAGGGTTGCTATGCGAATATGCAGTTCCTTCCGCACAATTTCTACAAGTACCTTGATGGTCATTTCAGGAACCATACCAGTTGAATTACAGGCGGGTGAGCGACGCAGAGCATGGAGAAAGGAGACAAGAGGGGAAAGGTGGAAGAAAAGGAGAGTACTTTAGATCTATGGCAGGAGAGCTTAGAACAGGAAACGCATGTGGGGCAATGGACCCAACTTTGATACCTGATGTGAGACCCAGGATCAAAAGAACATAACTTGCAGAGTAAATTAAGCTTTCACACAAATTCTATAAGGGCCATAGGTGCTTTGAGGCATATTACATCGTTTTAAATTAACCAACGGGAGACTGATGGCAACCCTTGTTGTCCACGTCGATGATGCTTGAATCTAAAGTGTGGTTTGGTGCATAAAGTGGGCGGTGACACGGCTAGCTCTTGAGAATTTGGTGGGAAGACTGACAACGGCCAGCATTGTCCCTCGTATGCTTAGATCTAAAGTGGTTTGGAGCGCCGTATGTGACACAACTGCGAGAATTATAAGGGGCCAAAGTGAGAATATATCTGCACAAATATCTTGAGAACGGTTGCTCGTAGTGATTTTTACCAAGCAACATTTTTACGTAAAAAATACGGAAAAGGTATATTTTTCACTCTGTAGTTTTATGCGGTACGGACGAAAAGTTATAACTCTTTCAAAACAGTTAAAACACATGTAGGCGTTCTACAAATAGGAGTCAAAAAAGGATATATATATATATATATATATATATATATATATATATATATATATATATATATATATATATATATATATATATATATATATATATATATATATATATATATATATGTCGCAACTAATGTCGTATATATATATATATATATATATATATATATATATATATACAGGGTTGTCGCAACTAACGTCGCATCGCCACGCCTAACCGCCACCTGTTACGATCAAGAACATCTTTCTCTTCCAAGTTACGGTCCTCCATTGCCCTTCTGATGGCCTCATTCCAGGATCTTCTAGGCCGTCCTCTTTTCCTTTTCCAGGAGGTGACCAGCTGTAGATACGTACTATACTATTGTACATACACTATTGTCTATGTGGCATCCATTTTGGCTCTGATTTCCACGTTCCTAACTCTGTCAAGTTTAGATAGTCTCGCACTGCATCTCAAATAGTCCATTACGAGTGCATTCAAAGCTCGCTTTTGTAAGGTCCAAACTTCACACACATAAGTTACTACGGACTCTACTAGGGCTCTTCCAATATGTACTTTTGTGTTTGGTCTTATGTTTTTGTCCCACCAGATGCCATTCAGTGCTCCTATAATCTTCCGCCCTTGTTCTATTCTAGCAGATACTTCTGTTTTGTCCAGTCCCTTTCTGGTTATACGTGCCCCCAAATATTTAAACCATTCAACCTGTCTGAGCTTTGGATTGTCAGTAATAAAAATGTCAAATTTATCATCTGAATTGGTCACTACCTAGTGACCAATTCAATAGTGAGTATTCCGTTTTATCAATGTTCACAGTAAGGCCCCATTCCGTGTATGCCGGATTTAACCTGCTCATCATGAATTCAAGGTCGTAAGCATCTTGAGCTATGACAACCTGATCATCGGCAAAATTCAATGTAACCATCAGTCATCTCCTACAGGGACGCCCATTCCCCCACACCTCTTCTTCCAGTCCCTAAGAATCACTACCAATCTTTACTGATTTTGTTGTAAGTAGATATTTCTAGCTTATTCCCGAGCTTATTCCTAATTATTTTTGTAAAAAGTCTGCTGAAGGTGCAATTCACACTAGACCTCTGTAGTTATTCGGGTCTTTTCTGTTCCCTTTTTTATATATAGAAGTGATATAGGCTAACTTCTATTCATTAGGTATTTTATTCCGATCTACACACATCTGCATTAAGTTTGTTATTTCTGTTATAAGACATTCTCCGCCATATTTTAGCATTTCAGCCATAATACCACCCGGTCCTGGAGCTCATAGATACCAAGGCTTGTTTAGCTTCCTCAATCGATATGTTTGTTCTAGGTTCTGTAATAGTGACGGCTTCATCGTTTTGCAAAAACTGTGGACGTTGTTCTATTAATTGGTTTTCATAATGTTTCCTCCAATCACTTAAAGATATAGTTCCCGTCCATCGTTCATGCGTATTTGTTTTCATCCCCTTCAGAGTTCTCCATGCTTCCGTAGATCGTGATCCCCCAATGTAAGTTTCAATATCATTGCATTTTCTTTCCCACATACTATTCTTTTCCTCAGTTACTTGTTGTCGAACCACAAAAAAAGGAGATATTAAAATCAAATTTCTCATGTCAAAAAACTTCCAGACACCAATTTTCATCCAAATATTTATTTTCATTATTGACGTATTTGGAAAAAATCGAAATAAAAATGAAACTCCTGCATCCTGTATCTCCGAAACTAAGCATTTTAGGGTATACATTATTATACGAACTGTTTATTTATTTTTATCTGCAGAATGTGCTGCCGAAGTTTCCGGAATACAGTTCGGACCACCCAGTATATTATGTTCTTATATCTAACTCTTCCGGTCTGTTTAAGTAGAGCTATTTAAAAATTAATAATTTTATTATTATGCCTAGTCTCATTTAAAAAAAATTGTTACTATGACAGTTTTAGAAACTTAGCAAGTAAACTGTAAATGATACTCATAAAGTTTGAATATTTTTCATTGTAACGATTTTTTTTAAACGAAACAATTATAATAGAATTATTATCTTTTAAAGGACTTTACTGAAGGAACCAGGAGGTTTAGGTATAGAATTATAGAATATCGTTGAAGAGCAATTATTTGTGTTTCGATTTTTTAATAATATACATAGGCTTGAAAACATACAATTTTAGTACTACAAACAGAAATACATTTTTTTAATCTCCCTATTTGATACTCAATAGGTTGATTTAGACAGATCGAATATGGCGACTTTCCTTAACCTCAACTAAACCAAATTTCAGCTTTTAATATGCCTAATTTATGATATAGCCAATTCTTATTCAATATCATGTTTTTGCCAATTTGCAACACATGTTTTATTTTATATCTCGCAAACTATTAGAAATTGGTAGGTATACAGGGTTGTTCACCACATACGACGCGGAGTATTGTAGCTAAACTCTTAGATTTTTGCAAATTGTAAGTTTTGGGTTCGTTGAAGGACTATTAGAGCTACAATTTAAAAATATTTTTACAGATACAGAGTGGCCCAAATAAATAAAAAATATCAAAGTTGTATTTTTTTAAATGGAACACCCTGTATATTATTACATTTATAGTTTCTACGATTAAAATAAAGATAAATTTGATTAAGGTTTACCGCATTTTAATCTTACCGTTTTTGAAATATTTAGGTTTTTGTCAAAATACAGTAATAATTTTAAGGCTTTATTTCTCCAGGCGTATTTATGTTTTTAAAACCAAATATTGTACTGAAGTATTTCTATTTACTAAATTTTGTGTTGCAATAATAAAAATTATACTACCTTATACAGAGTGTCTAAAAATTTATTTTAAATAATAACTAGCAATAAACGGCAATTACTTCTATAATTTAAATAGAACACCCTGTATATTTTATGGGAATCAGATGCACAATTTAATTGTCTATTAATATTATCGATATAGTTCGTTTATGTCATTAAAAAATAAAAAAATTGTCTAAATATTTGTAAAAGAGGACCAATTAATACGATTCCAGTATTCAAACTACATTAATTGACTGTTTGCGTTGATTAATAATAATTGCTTCAAATACTAAAAAACTTAATTTTCTATGTGTATTAGAGAGTGTGGTAAAAAATAACACCTTAAAAGTTTTATTTCATTTTTTGACGGATGTTTATTTAACAACAGAGACGTTCATTTTCATAACTTATTATTATATTGATTTCTGATTCTAAATCCACATTTATTTAGAATAATTTATTAACTAACACAGTTTAATATGTAATTAATTAGTATTTGGGCGGAAATAATGGTGGTATATTTAATTATGGTACACTCTTTTATAAATATTTAAATTGTTTTATTTTTGTATACAAATAGGCTGGTAATATTATCGTTTTTAGCACCTGTACATTTGTTGCTTTAAAAACAATCTAAAATGTCAATATTCCATGGGTATATTGATAAATAAGGTCTAAATTATAAGAAAAGGCATTTTCTACGAAAACTTGAAGAGATAGGTAAAAATGGTATAATACAATTTGATGGACAATTAAATTGTGCATCTGATTCTCCTCAAATATACAGGGTGTTCTATTTAAATTAAACAAGTTATTGCCGTTGAAAGCTAGAAATTATTTAAAATAAATTTTTAGACACTCTGTATGAGGTAGTATTATTTTTATTATTGCAACACAATAACTGATCAATAATTAAACTTCAGTAAATATTTAGTATTAAAAACTTTGATGCCCTTGGAGAAATAAAGCCTGAAAATTTTTACAACAATTTCACAAAATTGAAAATATTTCAAAAACGGTCAGGTTTAAGGGTGATAAACCTTGATCAAATTTACCTTTATTTTAATAATAGAAACTAAAAATGTAATAATATACAGGGTGTTCCATTTAAAAAAATACAACTTTGATATTTTTTATTTATTTGGGAGACTCTGTATCTTGTAAAAATATTTTTAAATTGTAGGTCTAATAGTCTTTCAACAAACCCAAAAGTTCAGCTACAATACTCCGTGTCGTATGTGGTGAACAACCCTGTATAGGGAAATTGGAACAACTTTCGTTGCACGTCATCAATGACACCACGCGTCGTCTTATATGGAGTTTGCTGGTGGTCGTATTATGATGTGCAACGAAAGTTATTTTAATTTCCCTATAGGTTAGTATAATAGAAAAAATATCAGATATTGAAAGTAGTTTCGAAAAATATAATAATATACTAGATGTTCTATTTAAAATAACAAAGATTGTACCACTTTGAAGCGGCAATACTGTAATAAGGAAAATAATTTAGGAAGATGTAACAGGCCGCTTTTACGCAAAAATTCTGTCACAGGTTCCCCATAAACGTTTAACGTACCATGGCCGTGAATCATGCTGTATACGTTATAATGCCTGCTACAGTCGGTCCAACTTAAGTCTTTTCTAAAAAGGCTTAAATCTTTTTCTGTTTCGGAAAGATTTAAATCACAAATCATTTTGAAAAAGACGCAGATCTTAGGTCTTAAGTCAGCTTTCGAAAAATACTTAAAATTCAAATGACTTAAGTCATTAAAATGATTAAATCAAAAAGACTTAAGTTTTCAAAGAAAGACTTATAAGTCTTGACAGTAAACATACATGACAGAGTAGTTGGAATGGAACCCACACGTAAAAAAATGTAATTACAAAAACTATAACTTACTAGGCATCTCCGGTAGAATTTTGCTATCCTGAAAGTATCTTATTAAGGAACTAACGCCATAAGTTACTTCATCTTCTGATTTATCAATTTTTTTAAGAACTCGTCTTTTTAAGCTGTTCCTGTCGCCATTAAATAAATCCATTTTTGTTCACTTGTTGTAGAATTGAAACACGTTTACTGTAGCTTATACGAATCAATACTTTGGTCAAGATTATAATCCATATAAACGTAAAAAATATTTTGAAATTTTCAGCCGCTCATCTACAGATTCGGAGTGAAGAAATTCTGCGGAGCGTGCGGGTTCAAGTTCTACTTATTTTATAGGCTTTCATCAACGATGGATTGAAGATGTCAGTAACTGAATAGACTTAGACGCCCTAAAAGACTAAAAAAGGAGTATGTCAACAAAATTAGCGAGACCACAAATTTATTTTAACATGGTTGACATGATACTGCTTTACCAGTGCCGTTCTATTTTTTTTAAACGCATTAAAATAAAAGACTAAATAACTTCCTAGTTTTCTTTTATGTTGGGTCAGTAAATGTTAATGGTTACTAAAATTATTAAAGAGACATAATTTTAATAAAAACAGTGAGCTTATATGTTAATATATTTATTTAATTAAAAAATACAGATACGCTACTGAAACAATTAGTTTGTAATGAGAAAAATTATTTATAGAAAAGTTGTTCTATTTTTCATAATTTTAATAATCTTGCTATAATTCAACTCCTGCCACAATATCTTTGTAGATTTGTACGTTTTATACGAGGTGGTACGAACTGTATTCCAGAAAATTCGGCAGCATATTCTGCAAAATGTTCCGAACTGCTTCTTTTAGGGTGTAGAAGTTTTATTTTTATTTCGATTTTTTCTCAATAATTTCTAAAGTGACGTCACTATTTGGATGAAAATTGGTGTCTGGGTTTTTTTTTTCACATGAGAAATTTGATTTTGATGTCAATATGACTCCTACTTGTAGAGGAATTACCAACATATTTTTTTACTGGTTAGGTCTCTTCAAGAGTAATAACTTTTCGTCCGCACTTGTACAAAACTACGGAGTAAAAAAATATACATTTACGTAAAAAAGTCTCTTGGTAAAAATCGCTACGAGTAATAAGGTTTGCGAGATATTTGGAATCGAATTATCAACCTGTCATCATTGACATAAATGAAAGATGTTGACTAAATAGTTATTAGGCTGAAATCATACATTTGATTAGGTTAGGTAATGCTTTTGTGCCAAAAATTCAACAGAAACTGTTTTATCATGATTTTTTAGAAGAAAAATTTATGATTAATTTGAATTACTATATTACTGAATACAGTACGGACACCCTGTATAAAACAAATTACTAGAACAAAATTATAGAAACAAAAGAACACAACTGTATGTTTATTACTCAATAATAAGCTGTACTTAAAAGGTTTCGTAAAATTAATAATTTTTGCCTAATGCCAGTCTGAATAAAAATATTATATTAAATTTAAATTTAATATTAATATTAAATTTATATTGCGGAGATAGGAAATTTTTTAAAATTCTTCTGTCGTTTCTTTATTATAGATTTAATTAGATTAACTTTATTTTATGACATAAAGGCATTTCTACGCAGGGTGTCCCACAATTAGTGCGACAAACTGAAAGGGGTTGTAGAGGGCATCAAAACAAGTCATTTGAGTATAGGAACCCATTTACAAAAACTGCTCAAAGTGCCGTCCATTCTGTTGAAGACACGAATGCAGTTTTTGTAAATATGTTTTGAATAAATAATGCAACTTGAAATTTACGTTTCACTACACCTGCCAAAACGGCACATTTCCGGACATGGGTTCCTATACTCAAATGACTTGTTTTGATGCCCTCTACAACCCCTTTCAGTTTGTCGCACTAATTGTGGGACACCCTGTATTTATACCGTATTGTTAAGTATAATATTATAAAATGGCATTTTAATAAAGAAACGGCTATTTCTACCATAATAAAATAAACAAGTAAGAAAATATACATATTAATCATCAAAACACCATATTGTGGTTTTTTATGGGTTCAGGCCTCCAACTTAGTATACCTTGCTATAACAGTTTTCCTTGACACCATGCATGGACCAGTTTTCCCTGCCATTCACAGCTGTGTAAGAGTTTACATACGAATTGGTTACTTTTAAATGGTTTTGAAATTACATAAATTATATAGAATTTTATAATTCTTTATTCTTTCATGAAACAAAATCTACTAGGAACAATATTTATTTACTATTTTATAGTTAAACAGGTTAACTTTCTCTGATTTAGCTCGGTATGTCTTGATTCATACTCTACTTAGTATTAATGAAATTTAAATACTTTTGCATTATTAGTTGATAAACTTGCCCAAATTTATATACATCTACGAGTCTATCTTCAACTAATGGACAGTTTTTGTCAAAGATAGGTAACTGTTTTCTTTAGCGTAACTAGCAATTTATCCTGGGATGGAGATGGGCCTTGGGGGGGTTGAGCTCAGGGGGGCCTAGGGCTTTTGTTTTTTTTTAAATGAAAAATAATTTTAAAAAGCACATTTTTTGTATAAAACGTTTACATGAATTTCTCTATCAATAAATTTCATATACTTGGTTATCAAACCGTAATACAGTAGATTACTTAAATACCTACAAATTGTCTAAAAAAAATAAAAATTAACACATTTTTGAACACAACAAAATAATATCAACGAAACAAAACTAGAAAACGTCATTTTTACTGCATCACAAGCAAATAAAAATTAATACGTAGCCATGCAAGAGTCATAACTCAGGATTTCTCTGGGGGGTGCCTAGCAGTGGGGGGGGGGGGGGACGGCGCACCCCCGGGCACCCCTGTAGTTACGCCAATGCCTGTTTTAATAGTAAATGTCTACAAGTAAAAAAGCAAATCATTTGTTTTATTTTCAAAAAATTAAGAAAGTTATCCAATAAAATCCATTTGCCCATATAGTTGATACAAGTTAATTTAGATCTAACATGAAGTACATATTATTGTTGACAACAGTACCATAGATAAAAATATAGGGCGAGATAGAAATATGATTCATGGTTTTTGGAAATTTGGATTTTTGCATAAAGGCACCTGCTCCATCTATCTAAAATATTATCATCGCAACAGTGTTGCCAAATCATTTAAAAAGGGGTAGCATCTTTGTTATATTAAATGGAACATCCAGTATATTATTATATTTTTGGAAATTACTTTTATATCCCATTGTAGAATTTTAGCATAACTCTAGAAGGACTCAAAAAATCAATTTTTTTCACCATTCTTTGGCTTATTTTGACCGTACATTTGACCTACATTTAAACAGATCAGCTGATGAATTACATGTTATCCAATTCATTCATTTGAGATTTCACTCAAAACAGTAAACCTCTGAATTCACTCAAAACAGAATCAATTCTGACTTTTCCAAGTCGTTTTTAAATATTTATAGTCGATGTGTCAACACTGGGCATCGAACAAGCCGAGTAATCCATGTAATTGTAGAGCCAAGCCAGTTTTTAGACAGTTGATTACAGTAGTTATGTACATACATATACCGCGGTCAGTCAAGCGAAAATTAGAACAGGGACCTCTGGGACCTGGTCAAAGTTGTGAAGATAACTTAGGTAATGTAAGGAATTTACTAAGGCTGAAAATTGTTATTATTATATATTATACATAAATTACGGCAATGTTAGTCAGTCAGCTGAATAGCGGAACAGTGCTGGTCAGTTGTCCCCAATATACGTAAAAAAATAATTATATATAGGGTGAATCTTAAATAAGTGCAAATATTTTCAGGGGTGGTATATTTCGACCCCAGGAACCCCCGACCCCGTCTATGAGTTTTTTTTCGCTAAAAAAAGATGTTGAAAATCGTGCATTTACTTTTAAATTTCCTTGTATATTTTTCGAAAACTTTTTAGAATTGCCTGTTCACCGCAAATTACCACGGTATAATTCCTTAATATCAGATATTACCATAGTTACGGCTTGACTCTATTGTTACGGCAATAAAAGGAATGCAAATACAGAAAAAATCAGATGGCTCTCAAAATTTTTTCAAAAAAAATATATTTTTTTTTAATTTTCAAACTTAATTAACTCGGATATGTTGGACTTATCTGATAAATGGTAAAGAGAAAATATGTTTCTTTTATCGAGATCTACCAGCCCTAAAAATATTTGCACTATTCCATCCACCGCGCCGCGCCGCGTTCGAATTATTTTTGAAGAAACCCCCGTATTCGAGCGCTCGACCCAGCGGCGGCATACGACCATACAATTTTTTGCTGCCGCCGCGGCTCGTCTTTGTAAACGCCACATGAAAGCTAGAACGCCGGCTGACCCTTCTTCTTATATTTATTCGGTGGTACGACTGACCAGCACTGTTCCGCTATTCAGCTGACTGACTAACATTGCCGTTATTTATGTATAATATATCGATGGCCTAGTGCTGATAGGTCGTAACCCAACTTAACAAAATTTTATAGGAGACACAAAAAAGTTTAAACGTATGTGTAAGTAATGTTTACTAAGTAAATTCTTTGTAAATACTAATTTTGTAAATACTAATTGTAAAATACTAATTTTTTAATTATTTAACTAGGATAATGTGGGATACGACATATTGTAAGAAATGCAATAGAGACTTACGAGACAATGGAACAATGGAATAGTATATTATCGTATACCTAGTAGGAAAACATTCCCGGATGACCGTAAGGATTGCCGGGCAATACGGGAGTCCGTGAATGTGGAATTTCCTACGAGGTATACAGGGTGATCTGTTTAAAAACTGATGACCTGCTTAAAAACTCAAATGGAACTGGGCTGGGCATATTGCCAGAAGAACGGATGATAGATGGACCAAGCTAATACTAGAATGGCGGCCAAGACAAGATGCTTTCAGAAACAGAGGCAGACCTTCGACAAGATGGTCAGATGACTTGAAGAGATTTAGGGGAAACTGGATCCAAGTGGCACAGGACCGAGAAGAGTGGAAGGATTTGAGGGAGGCCTACGTCCAGCAGTGGACACTTCAGGCTGGTTGATGATGATACAGGGTGATTCCTGTAAGTCGGTCATGCTTTCGGGGAATGATAGGGGACGTCGAAATATTAATTTTCATATAGCACACTATGGGTCGGAAATGCTTCTTACGCAAGATACAGGGTGTTAAAAATTTTGAAAAATTAATAATAGTCTTTACTAGTTCTTTAACAGTTGAAGGTATCGTTATAAAATTTTATTATAAGAGTCTACCTAACAGAGACACTTTAAATGTAAAAAGAAGAGGTTTTAGTTTCAACCAGTAGCGTAGATGTGATACGCATCGAGTATTTTTTTCAATAAAAAAAATAGTACGCCACTTGTAAAAATAAAAATTTCAGAGTTTTTTTATTTACTCGGCTTATTTCCAAGAAAAAATGTCTGTTGTAACTTTCTCCTATCTAACACCATTTTATCACAATTTAAAAATAAATAAATTTATTAATGAAAACCTTAAATACAGCGAATTATTATAACTACCTTAAAACTAAGAATTTAATTATTAACAATGAAGTTTTTATTAGTTTAAGAGATGCTCAAAGTGTAACGGCTGGGATATCTCTTATATCTGGCCTATTTAAATTCACATGTAAGTGATGAAGGGAGCTGACGATGCTCATGTGTTTCTGCCCTCTAGTTATAATAATTCGTTGTATTTAAGGTTCTCATTAATAAATTTATTTATTTTTAAATTGTGATAAAATGGTATTAGATAGGAGAAAGTTGCAAGAGACATTTTTTCTTGGAAATAAACCGAGTAAATAAAAAACTTTAAAATTTTTATTTTTATCAGTGGCGTACTATTTTGTTTTTGAAAAAAATACCCGATGAGTATCACATCTACGCCATTGGTTGAAACTGAAATCTTTTCTTTTTACATTTAAAGTGTCTCTGTTAGGCAGACTCCTATAATAAAATTTAATAACGATACCTTCAACTGTTAAAAACTCTTAAAGAATATCTATTTATTTTTCAAAAACTTTAACACCCTGTATCTTGCGTAAGAGGCATTTCCGACCCATAGTGTGCTATATCAAAATTAATATTTCGACGTCCCCTATCATTCCCCGGAAAGCATGAACGACTTACAGGAATCACCCTGTATCGAAAATTATTTGAAACAAATCAATAATTAAGTCATTTTCAGTCTTTGAATAGCCGTATTTCCGTACAGTACCATATCAACAATCAACATTATTTTCCGTAATGTTATTGTCCGTTATTACCTAGCAACGACTAGATACCAGGAATATTGACTTTTTCGATTAAAAATGTCATCAAAAATATCAATATTTCTGAACGATTTTTGGAAAATAATATTTTTTTTATTATACCTGCCCAAAAAAGCATTAAAAATGAAAATGGAAGTAACCCACAAAATACCGGATTAAACACAGAGGTTCAAATATATCGTAAACCACACTTAGTTTTGGAGAGCTTATTATTGAGAAAAAAAAATATTTCACCTATTTTATTTTAAAATATGATTAAAAAACATTTTTTTAACACCTATGTATAAAAAACAACTACTTACCTATTTTGTTCCTGATTTAGACCAATTTAAGCATCCACAACTGACACTTTGCTGTCTAGACAGAATTGTTGTATACGACAATTTAGAATTAAAATCAATGACAGACAATGGCTAAAAAATGACGGGATTGAGCGTTTTAGAATTCGATTTGGGGTATGAGGTTTTCGCAACACATAGAAATGCATGTTAAATTAAGTTTGGCGCAAAAATCTCAATTTTCATTTTTTTGTGGTTTACGACCTATCAGCACTAGGCCGTCGATATAATAATGTATAACGATTTTCAGCCTTAGGAAATTATTTGCATTACCTAAGTTATCTTCACAACTTTGGCGACGTCCCCGAGATTCCTGTTCGAATTTTCGTTTGACTGACCGCCGCGCGCCGGTTATATGTACAGGGTGGTCGGAATTGGTCTGTTTTAACAGAGAAAACCTATTTCCTGACTAGATAGAACAAAACCGACATAGATGTCATGGGCTCGATTCCTGAGACACGTTTAATGGCATAAACCGCCTGTTGATATTTTCACTGCCAACTGAGATACGGGGTCTTTTTGATTTCTTTACCATTTTGAAAATTGCCCATAACTTTTTTAATTCGCGGAATAATAAAATTATATCAACAGACGGTTTATGCCATTAAACGTGTCTCAGAAATCGAGCACATGACATCTACGTCGATTTTGCTCTATCTAGTCAGGAAATAGGTTTTTCATGTTAAAACAGATCAATTTCGACCACCCTGTACATAACTACTGTAATCAACTGTCTAAAAACTGGCTTTGGTAAATTCAGAGATTTTTTCGGCGCTGCCTCTGACTGTTGATGATTTGGGACTGATTATTGATTGATGGCGGCAGCTCTCATGTTGCCATTATTTTTTTTAATTTTCAAGTTAAATAACTCGGTTATTATCAATTTATTTAAAAAATGGTAAAGAAGTAGTGCAGTGATGTGAAAGCCGCATCTTTCTAGCTCTATTCATAAGCGAGAAACCCTGAAAAACACAAGAAAATGGGACATCGTTGGACATAGGTAATAGCCGAGTTGGGAAAATCAAGTTTCATATTTTTCTGTCTAACATTATTAAACTGATATAACGCAGAATATAAAAAAGGACAGGGCCGGGTGAAGAATTAATGTACGACACCTCTTTTCTAAAAGAACGGACATGAATAGGGATCAGAAATTTTGACCTAGAAAGAAAAATTGTATTTGGGTTACATATATTCCAAAGTACATATTTGACGTCACACAATGTACACCCTTAATATACTCAAACTATATTTAACTAACCGTATTATGTCTCCTTTCTCTGGCCTTTCCATTTTATCTCGGACGATGGAAAGCTTTACACATTGCTTTTATCATTTTTGCAATTTAAACCAGTTTGTTCGCCGTCTATAATTCTGTGAAACATTTTAAGGCGGTTTTTGTAAGTTTTTAACGTATACTCCATGTTCGGGTAAAAGTATATTACATACCGAAGAGGGAAGTGTTTCATTACTGTCGAGAGATTAACCTAGCCTCGAGACAATAATCTAACTAATCTCGATTAATAACTAAATCTCGCGACAATAATGAAAACTTTCCTCCGAGGTTTGTATACTATTTTATGTACAACCACATCATTAATTAAAAAATTGGGAAAGTATTTTATTTTGAAAAAAAAAAAATATGCGAAAATTTTGCGTTTTCTGTTTTAGCATTTCCATATCTATAGTTACCGGTACCAATGGTTGTTATGGAGCAAACCTTAAACAGCAAAACAAACAACTAAGTGATAGTTTTGAATTTCTCGTTTGCTTCATGCCCTAGACACTCACTGGTAATTTTATAGAACTACAAATTTAGTTTCTTCCGCATCGCCAGACGGCGCAAAAAATATTAAAGTACAGGTTTCTAATTTATATATGAAGATGACATGACAGTCTCTATGTTAACAACTAGTAGTGGGAACTATCGAATGAATACTATCGAAACATTCGATAGATGCAATTCATTCGAATAATTCGATAGTTAGTAAGAAAACATTCGTTGAAAACTATTCGAATAAAAATTATCGAATAGATCCGTCATCTGCCTTGAAATATTGTATTCTAGTAATTCGGCAGGAAAAACCATTCACTTATAAAATTCATTCATTTATGAAATTCATTTATTCGTCAGGATCGATTATAACAAAATATTAACTGAATTTTAGTTGTCGCCCGGCGACGTAGGTTTCTTTCCGAGAAACCCGACAGCGGTCGGTGGCAATGCTATGAAAGAAGCCGGCATCTTTGATTTTTTGCCGAGTCAGATATAGATAAGGACACATTATTTTTTTTTATTGAGGTGCTAGTATTTACACAGAAAATACATTATGAAGGGCGCTGTTGCCATATTTTGGTATTAGTTGATATTAGCAAAGAATATTATTGTTTGGCTTTAGTTAGTTAGGGATAGTATGTCTATATATTCTGCATTTTTTTTATTAATATTCTGTTGTTACACTGCAATAATACTTGTTATTTTGGATGTAGGAAAATGATTTTTAATGTTTTTAAGCAAAGACTGGTTTAATAAATAATAATAACAGTAATAATTTGTTATACCTATTAACATCATAATTTAAAATCATTTAATATAAATATTTTTTTAAGTAGTAGCAAAATATAAACAACAAATTAGATGTTAAAATTATTTATATTAGATCCTATTTAAAAATAATGTAGTCTCTAAATTTTTTGTGTGTGGCAACGTTGGTTTATTAAATAATTTTTTTAATTACAGAACTAATTTGTTATATTAACAACAAATTTTAAAATCATGAAATATAAACATTTATTAATTTTCTAAGCATGCAGTGTAATGGAAGGAAAATATAAATAAAAAATTAGAAATCAAAATTATTTATATTAGGTGCTTTATATTACTATTTAAAAATTATATTTAGTTTTACTGGCATTTACTTTAAAAAATAAATGAAATATTTCTTCGCAAAAAACTACATGTAAGAGAATTAGCATAAACAAAATACAAACATCGTTAACTTTTTTTTTTAAATTGGCACGTGTAAAACTTTCATTTTAATTTTCTCATCCCATAGTTTGAGTTCGATAACCATTTACTTAACCACATTACTTAAATATGATTATTAAGTTCAACTAATTCATATTATTAAAACATCTAAAATACAAATATGTATTTTTAAAATTAATTAAGTTCATCTCATCTCTCTTAAAAATTGCTACTTCTCAAAATTTCCCATTAAAAAATAGACCATATACCATATAAAATTAAATAATTGAAAGATCGGACTA